TCTACTTCTCACATTTTCCAAACAGGCTGGTTCCTTTAGTTTGAATGTGTGTTTGGTGGCGTGATCATTATTATTTAGAGTCATTGCGTGCCTATTGATTTGAACACGATCCGTGTATCCATCATTTCCTGGTCTTCTCTAAAGAAGAGGGACCAATGAAAACGTTGTCATGTTGCCGTTGTTCAGCATGGAAACATTCATTAGCTAACAATGACATTATTGTTCTATTAATATAAAGGGAGGTCAGGTACTCTTTAAAACAGCTGCTAGTTATGGGTACTTTTTACTGAAGTACATTTCAAAGCCCTCTTTACTTTTACTTGAGTAAAGAAGTTTAGTCAGTACTTCTACTTTCACCAGAGTATTTTTAAACACGAGTATCTGTGTGGGAAGGCGTGTGGCGCAGTGGAGAGAGCCTTGGTGTTGGGATCAGGGGGGCACAGGTTCAAACCCCACTGCAGTCAGCATGTCGTTGTGTCCCTGAGACACTTCACCCCAAATTGCTCCTGTGGGGATTGTCCACAGTACTGAGTATGTAAGTCGCTTTGGATAAAAGCGTCTAACAAGTGACATGTAATGTAATCTGTACTTCTACTTGAGTAAAGAATGTGTGTACTTTTGACATCTCTGACCAAAACTAAATTTTCCGTCAGTTTTAGTGACAGTAATAAATACAGAATTGAATAAGAATTGTTTAAAGAAAAGAGTAATAGTAGTGATATATGTTCACTATAGGGTCATTATGGGTAAAAACAAATGGTGTAAGGAGGAAAAAGAGAGCAATATGAGAAAAAAGCATTAGTTTAATGAGAAGTAAAAAAACTAAAAATGACATGAAAGTCTCAAATTAACAAGAAAACTGATTAGTAAAATGGTGTTTATTATTCTCAAGTCACTACATTGCTTCCTCATGCAAGGTTCAAATAACTGTAACATGTACGGTAATCAGGTGATGCTATATTAGTGTTTTTTATTTAAGTCTTTCATGACTACAAAAGCCCCCAATACGCCATTTAACAAGTGAGACCAATAAGTACAAATCTAAATCTGACGGATGATATCAGTGTCTCATCTCTGTCCTCACGTCCCGTCCTCCTCTTCCAGGAATGAACCACGCTCACCCCTCTGGAAGAAGACAGAAGGCCTCCGCAAACACCACCATTATGACGGTGAGTCACATTTCAGAGTTGATTTACGACGAGCTGCTGCCAAAAAACAAGTTGTCAAGTCTGGAACAGCGAGTCAGCGAAGGAGGATGATTTTTTTTTGGGGGGGGGGGGAATGTTTGCAGACCGCCTCCCAAAAACCCTGTGATGTCTGTGTGTCTTCGTTAATGAAGAAATTCTGGTACCTGGGTGAGAAATTGCTGTCAGCTGAGCAGACTTTGCCTCCTCGTTGCCCTCCTGAACGCACCATCACACAGAAATATATCCCATCAGGCCTCTGGGAAGTTAAGATACTACTTCTATTCTCTTTTATTTGTATTTACGTGCACTATTTGTATCTGTTTGTTGTGTTGAACTGTTGGAGGAGCCTGTGACTTAAGATTTTCATTGACATGTATTTCTTCTTTCAGATACGTTTCTGGCCAGTTCTGATGAAATTAACGAGTATGAAATTCATAAAATGTGTAAATATCTCATAGTGAAGTACTGCTGAGAGCCTGCCCTATTAGGTAAGACTGGTACTGTCAAATTAGAGTATCACAATTTCCCTGGATATATTTTGGGAAGTTAGGCTCCTATTATCCCCAGAATATATTGCATTTTGCAACTTAACAATAAGATCAGATGTCACCGTCACTGGAAACGTAACTGATATGTACGTTTTATTGGCTTATTTTAACAATGTGATCACATGACTCATTCTGATATTACTGACAACGCTGAACGCCACCAAGCGATCTGATCCCACGTGTGTCAATAAATACAAGTTGGATTTTTTTTTTATTTTGCGCAATTTGTGGCCCTTTACCTTTGCAGGAACCCAGATATATTTACAGAAACTCAGGAACTTTAGGACCAAGTTGGTGAAAATGTTTCTATAATTCCATGTGTTTCGGCAAAATGTGTGTTTTTAAACGGTAGTGCGTTTCTCCTAATGTAAACGTTTTGGGTTATAGCACATTTGCACATGTTGGTCACCGTATGTGACACCATTTCTATTTTTCTATGTCCCCTACCACATCTACCATGCTCCATATTGCAACAAAAACTCACAACCTAAAGATCAAAAAGCCTTCACTTCACTCTGTCTTCATCCATCCAGCCTTTTGCAGTAAACTCTTATCCAGATGCGACAGTTGTCCGAGGAGTGTTTTTGAACTACATGAGCAATTTCACACATTAGGAGGAGTTGCTAGCCGGTATAAGCTAATGTATGTTTCCTGCAGTCGCCACAGTGATGGTGACAGCCTCTCAGTCACACCAGCAGAAAGACTTGTTAGCAAACTGGTCCTCACTGAAGGTACATTTAGCAGAACAGCATGATATCCAGTGTGAGCAGAGTGAGAAAGTGTGTCTTTGCTCATTGGTGGCAGCATGCTGATTATCCTCAGGGTTCAGACAGCATGTCACTCAATGCAGAGAGGGTAGAAGTACACACTTCCTTTACTCAAGTAGAAGTACAGATATTCGTGTTTAAAAATACTCTGGTAAAAGTAGAAGTACTGACTAAACTTCTTTACTCAAGTAAAAGTAAAGAGGCTTTGAAATGTACTTCAGTAAAAAGTACCCATAACTAGCAGCTGTTTTAAAGAGTACCTGACCTCCCTTTATATTAATAGAACAATAATGTCATTGTTAGCTAATGAATGTTTCCATGCTGAACAACGGCAACATGACAACGTTTTCATTGGTCCCTCTTCTTTAGAGAAGACCAGGAAATGATGGATACACGGATCGTGTTCAAATCAATAGGCACGCAATGACTCTAAATAATAATGATCACGCCACCAAACACACATTCAAACTAAAGGAACCAGCCTGTTTGGAAAATGTGAGAAGTAGAAAGTACAGGTATTTGTGTTCAACATGTAAGAAGTAGAAAGTACAGGTATTTGTGTTCAACATGTAAGAAGTAGAAAGTACAGGTATTTGTGTTCAACATGTAAGAAGTAGAAAGTACAGGTATTTGTGTTCAACATGTAAGAAGTAGAAAGTACAGGTATTTGTGTTCAACATGTAAGAAGTAGAAAGTACAGGTATTTGTGTTCAACATGTAAGAAGTCAAAGTCAAAAGTCGTCAGAAAAATAAGTAGTGGAGTAAAGTACTGATACCAGAAACATGTACTTAGGTACAGTAACAAAGTATTTGTACTCTACTACTTCCCACCTCTGATCAATGCATTCACACAGGGAAGGATTTAAAAAGGAGGAAGTTACTGAGTCTTAATGTCAGAATGATGCTAACTCCACTTCTTTTATTTCTGGGGAGACTGATAGTAAAGATCCTTAAGTTTTACTTTCAGTCACAAAATCCTCACATTGTAAAGTCTGTAGACACGTGTTATGAAATACTACAATATGAGGTAAAGGTTGTATAAAGTATTTTGTTTCTTCAGAGGAAGCTGTGTGAAATCTGTCGGCATCAATCATTATAAAACATATCATATATATTATTCTGAAATGGACCAATCTGCACAATGACTACTTTTACTGTCGCTACTTTCACTATATTTTGATGATAATACTTTTCTACTTTTACTTGAGGAACATTTTGAATGCAGGACTTTTACGGTAACAGAGTATTCCTACACTCTGGTACTTATACTTTTACTCAAGTACAAGATCTGAGTACTTCTACTTTTACTCAAGAACAAGATCTGAGTACTTCTACTTTTACTCAAGAACAAGATCTGAGTACTTCTACTTTTACTCAAGAACAAGATCCGAGTACTTCTACTTTTAATCAAGTACAAGATCTGAGTACTTCTACTTTTACTCAAGTACAAGACCCGAGTACTTCTACTTTTACTCAAGATCTGGGTACTTCTACTTTTACTCAAGATCTGAGTACTTCTACTTTTACTCAAGTACAAGATCTGAGTACTTCTACTTTTACTCAAGTACAAGATCTGAGTACTTCTACTTTTACTCAAGATCCGAGTACTTCTACTTTTACTCAAGATCCGAGTACTTCTACTTTTACTCAAGATCCGAGTACTTCTACTTTTACTCAAGTACAAGATCCGAGTACTTCTACTTTTACTCAAGATCCGAGTACTTCTACTTTTACTCAAGATCCGAGTACTTCTACTTTTACTCAAGATCCGAGTACTTCTACTTTTACTCAAGTACAAGATCCGAGTACTTCTACTTTTACTCAAGATCCGAGTACTTCTACTTTTACTCAAGATCTGGGTACTTCTACTTTTACTCAAGATCTGAGTACTTCTACTTTTACTCAAGATCTGAGTACTTCTACTTTTACTCAAGATCCGAGTACTTCTACTTTTACTCAAGTACAAGATCCGAGTACTTCTACTTTTACTCAAGATCCGAGTACTTCTACTTTTACTCAAGATCTGGGTACTTCTACTTTTACTCAAGTACAAGATCTGAGTACTTCTACTCAAGATCCGAGTACTTCTCCCACCTCTGGTCTTCTGTCAGTTAGTACTCATTGCTGATTTATAAAAAAGGGAAACACTGCCCCCTTGTGGTTGCAACCTATCAGGTGCTTTTGACCCCGTCTTAACATTTCATTGACACACAAGTAATATAAGGTCATTGCACTTTCTTCCCCGACCTAATGGTTTAGACATGAGTGCCGTCCACATTGAGACTTTAGGATGTGATCCTAAAACTTAAAATCTTTGGTCTTGGATCGAAACTCTTTCAGGTTTTAATCTTCCAATTTCATAACACAAATAAAAACACAAGTGAGCAGGAACAAAGTATTTTAAGATGTTCCTCTTAACATCACTTTAGTTATTTTCATACACTTAATATCTACAATAATGTGCAGTGGAAAAAAAAAAGAAAAAAGAATCACATTCATTTGATTTTAAGTTTCTTTATTTAAAAAAATCCAGACACATCTTTAAATATTGAGACGACATGCAAAGGGAGAACATTTCAATCTTTTGACAAAAACACACAAACCTCTGCACCTAGAGACATGTTAGAGACATGTTAATCTGTCCTGTAAGGAGAGCCTGACGCTCCGATGTGATATTATGGGATGCGTTGAGATGCTTTTCTCTTGCAGTCTCAACTGAATTTGGCTTTAGAGAAATCCATCTCCGGGTGCTGAGACATGAACCTGCAGAGACGGAGAGTACAGAGTCAGAAATCATCAAAAATGACATCTTTTATTTTCTAAATTACCTTTAAAACGGCTTTAAATACAGGATCTACATTAGCGCTTAAATAATACAATAAAATATATTTTTATACTAACATAATAGTTTAAAGTAAGAATATTCAATAAAAGATAACATATTTATACAACTAATTACTAGTTTTCACAATTGGGATAAACTTCACAGTATATAAAAAGGGAAATATATTTTTTGTATGTAGTATTCCCTTTAGAAAAATATTAATAAAATGTTATTCATTTGATTTATTAATCTGTGAAATACAATTTGTAGGTGGTCATATTTCTGCATCAACACACATTTCCCCTTTTAATAAATCCTTCTGCGATTTAGATATTGTCTATAATCAATATTGCAATAATATCTGATTGATTGTTCAACCCTTATCCACATCCTAAATTAATTCCTGGACCCAATTTGGAAAATAAGTCTCATCTGAATGTGAAAAATCGGGTTAAATAAAGGTTGCATTATTTTATTTTTTTTAATTCTGACATTTCCGAAAACATGTCCGTCCTCTAGCGCCGCCATGTGGCCAAAGATATGTTTTTTAAAAGAGTAAATAAACATGAGAAGTCTCCATCAGACAACACGTTTGATGGGAAAGACCAAGCCCCCAGGAAGTGCGCTGGACTCTGAGGAAAATATTCGTTGTGGCCAAACAGCGGTACTACACTTCCGTATCAGTCGCTGGGCCCGGAAAGACTTTTTCCCATTGACTAACATTGGGAAAGAGACGCCTGTAAATCGTTGGATAATTTTTTTAAACTAAATAAACTACCTAGTTTGAACACTTGTATAGCCCTTATTAAAAACATTCGGTCGTTTGTTGTAAAATGTGCTAATAAAGTTATTCGAGTTATTTTCCTCTGCATTATGAACGTGGATCTAACCCACGGGACCGCGCCGCCCGGCACGTTCATGTGACGTTTTCAGTACTACATGAGTTTTACCTTTACCAATGGATGCACAATAAGAACGGATGATATGATTATATGAATACTTTCGTGACGTTTCGCTCTCTCAAAAGTTGGGCCATTTTGTCTTCATGCGCCAATGAGCAACTCTCATAGGAATGAACGAGGCCCCGCCTCCCACGCTGTATCCAGTTCTTATTATAGACACGTGAACTTTATGTCAACAAATCAACTGAGAGCAGCCTTCTGACTACAGAGGTATTGTTTAACTCTAATAAAACCAAACAGGATTTTAGAGGCAGATTTAACGAGCGTGAAACAGGAAGTGGAGCTCAAAATAACTGAGGAGGATTTTTTACTAACAGCATGATAAGAGCGCCCTTCACAAACAGGCTTTAAAGGTCACCTATCATGCTATTCTTAGGCAATAGCATAGGTCTCAGATATATAAAAAGATATTAAAAACATGTCTATGAAGTGTTTTGCTCAAAATACCAAAAAGATCACCCATTCTAGCCATGCCTCATATCCCTCTGTTTCACTTCCTGTTTCAAAAGTGCTGATTTGGGTATAAAGCCTTAAAAAATAAAAAAGGAGGGGTCTGAGCTCATGCGGGACCCGGCAGCTACCGTCTAAACTAAATACTGCCGTGATGAAACGCCATATCATGGATTATCAAGGATTGTTTCTGAAACAGTATGGAGCTCAAAGGCTTTCTCTCTTGCCGGTTATACCACAAGGTGAGTTCCTTTTTATTTCCTGCTTCTTCACACACATGCTCTCCAGTACAGGTTAGCTCTGAGTGTTAGCGATGCTAATGTAAACACCGACCATATTACGTCCAAAACAGTCGGGCATTGTTTCTGATAGCAACGTTTCTGATAGGGCCGTGGGTCCACATTTCTGATATTACGTCATATCGGACACAAATCTGGATCAGCTCCGTTGTTCCCCCGTTTTTAGAGATTTGGGTACGGAGGAAAAGAGAGAAGGTTTTATTTTCTGACGCTGCGTGAGTTCCCCGACACACCGGGGACACATATTGATGTATAAAAGACATCACAAAGTGCATTTTGCATGATAGGTCCCCTTTAAATTTGCTGAATACTGCCCAGGTGATTCCTCATTACATTTCAGTCAATATCATATTTTTGTGTGAGCTCAAGCGTCTGTTCTTTCCGATCTTAATTCCTCAGAGTGATGCCTACCTAGCAATATCAGTGCAAAATATCTTTGAATACAAAAAAACTCAATAAGGACGAAATAACGTTTTTATTAAATACCCACTGCTCCTAGCTTAGGATGAGTAAAAAGCAGAAACCAAATTTCACGGTGTGTGCTGTGTGCATGGAAACGTGTGACCAATGAAGAGGGTTTCAGATATTATAGCAGATTAAAGCACTGCTTGGTAACACTAATGGAGTCATATTTAATCTGTGGTCAGATCCCTGGACTGGTCTGTGTCTCTTCATATAAAACCTTTATATCATAACGTTTCTGTTCAACTGTGTGAGCCAATAAGAAACACCACAGAGGTCAGGTGACAATAAAAAGAGCTTCATGATAGCCAACAGGAACGGGAGTATTCAGGGTTGCTTACACCTTTTCCAAAGTCAAATTCAAGCACTTTTCAAGCACTTTCAAGGTGAATTTTAAAGCTTTTGAAGCAGCTTACAGCTATGGTAAATTACATATACATACCTAAACTCAAATTATTGTTTCACTACCTCACATTAAATCAGATGTTCTTTATGCTATAACCAAATGTGTGTTACGTAATAGCACTCTGCAAAAGGATGACATTTAATATTTCTAAATGGGTGACCCATCAAACCTTGAAAACACCACATTTCTAGCATTTTCAAGGATTTCCAGCACCCGTACGAACCCTGTGTATTTCTATAAACTCACTTTTTGAGAATGTCTTGTTTCTTTTGCTCTTCAGACGTCGGCAGACCCATTGATTTCTGCCTCTGGTCGTACATCATCTTCTCCACCATACCACGCGTCTCTCCGTCCAGATCTGACAGCTGCTCATCAGAAAACACACACACACACACAGATGAGTCTTAACTACAGATTCAAGCAGGTAAAACACACCTGAAACACGTCAGCGTCAAATCACTTACCTTTGAGTTCTCTGGAGAGACTTTCTTGGTGTTAATTTCTGGATCTGTGGACACAATCTTGCTCCACCACTCCATTTTATTAACCTGAAATGAAAGCATATCATTAGGTTTAACAGCCCGATGGTTTTAATCTACACATGATGTGTTCGAATGAAGAACCACGTTTTTACTTTATATTAATATTACATTTTCCAACAGGAACGGTAGAAGACGGAGAAAATGCACTCGACATACTCGTATTCATTTCAAATCATAACAGGAAAGAGCAGGACACGTACTTGCACTTCAAAAATAAAAACATTTCCTATCAAACATTTTGCCGTTAGCTTTTATCAAATAAACAAATAATTTTTACTGCCTTTAAAAAGGTCCCCTATTATACTCTCATCAATATATTCCAGGTCTCAGATATATACAGAGCCTGTCTCTGATTGGCTGAAACACCAAACAGATCATTGCAGCATTACCCATAATCCCCTCTGTTTCAGCCCTGTTTCCAAAGTGCTGATTCTCTGGTTGCATTCGAATAGTCCATTTAGCTTAGGAACCTTCCTAACGGAGTGAAATGACCCGGAAGTCCCTCAGTGGCAGCCATGATAAGTGCCGTTCGAATTCTCTAAATTAAAAGGAAAGGAGGTTTCAAACTTCCTTTATAACCTCCTTTAGCCTAGGAACCACTGGACCTCCCTAACCGAAAGGAGAGGAGAAAATGCTGCCCCACAATGCCTTGCGGCCGCGGCATTTGCCGTCACACAACAGTCGGCCGTTCACGGAAACAACCGATTATGAACGAGAAATGATATCATGAAAGTTACGGTGCTTATTAAGCATTTTAAAACGTATGTGGTAAGTTGCCAAAGTGCTTTGTTTTGAACGTTCATCAGTATTATAATCAAAAAGAGAAATATGAACGTTAGTTTTTACTGAAATGATCAAATAAAGTCAACATTTCACAGTCTTTACTGAGCTGTGTGGGGTTTGTTCAACTTTTAAAAGATGTTTGAATGGTGATATACACAGTGATAGATGTTAAGGACTAACGTTTATAATAAATACATTTGTATTGATTTTAAGATCTTTTCATACAATCATATGTATTGGGATCATTTGTATTAATGTGGACCGGAGGGAGAGGGTGACGAGCATAAGTTTCACTTTCCTTTTTTATTTCAATTCCAACTTTGGTCATGAAGAATATGTTTCTCTGTTGTCCCCGTTCATAAAGCATAAAACAACAGCACCAGAGCACGGTGCAGAGTCTCTAGATGAGTTCACAGTAGTCCCTCGTTCTTATTAAACATCCATGTTGTAGTCCGCTGTATAGAAAACTGTAGTTTCCATAGTTTCCCCACAGCAGCAGGCGCACATTTATGACCTCCGCTGGCGCATCATAAACACGTCGGATAGTGAAAGTGCAGTCGGACTCCCTAAAGTACCACAGTCTCTTCTCCTAAATCCTTTTGAATTCTCCTATCCACTATTCCTTAACCCCATGACGTTTCACTCCGAGGTCAAGGAATAGACGATAGGGTTAGAACTTAGGAGCTGATTTTTTGGAGTATTCGAACGCAACCTCTGTCTGTTACTTTAGATGAAAATAAGGAGCCCCTCCCCACGCCCCTCTGAGAGACATTTGGTTACAAAGAACTCAATGGTGCTCTAGGAGGAGATTCAGGTGATAAGGGGGGGGGGGGGAGGTTACCTTGGTTGCTGATTGGCTAATGGTTACACAAGACAAGACATCGTGATGACATCATAAAGTGGCCAAAATCTGATCAGCTCATTTTCAGACAGGTTTTTATAGAAATGGATCAGGACAAAAAGAGAGAGAATCTTTGTTCCTGAAACTTTCAGAGTCTCTTTCCACAGAGGGGACACATGTTGATGAAGAAGAGACATGAAGAAGAGGGGACACATGTTGATGAAGAAGAGACATGAAGAAGAGGGGACACATGTTGATGTAGAAGAGACATGAAGAAGAGGGGACACATGTTGATGTAGAAGAGACATGAAGAAGAGGGGACACATGTTGATGTAGAAGAGACATGGAGAAGAGGGGACACATGTTGATGTAGAAGAGACATGAAGAAGAGGGGACACATGTTGATGTAGAAGAGACATGAAGAAGAGGGGACACATGTTGATGAAGAAGAGACATGAAGAAGAGGGGACACATGTTGATGTAGAAGAGACATGAAGAAGAGGGGACACATGTTGATGTAGAAGAGACATGAAGAAGAGGGGACACATGTTGATGAAGAAGAGACATGAAGAAGAGGGGACACAAACCTTTTCTAAGTGGAGCGTGACAACTTTTCCGTCGTCAAGGAGCCAATTGCTTTCGTCCACCTTCACCTCGCCGTACATCTGGCCCTCGAGGACAGGAGGGTGTCCCTTCAGCCCCACTTTGATGGTGCGCCTCTGGATATCCACCACCACGTCTCTGGCCTTGATGCGGAAGCTCACATCGAAAGGCAAGACGACCTGCAGGGAAATATATACTGCGAGTTAAAGTCTGCTTTATTCTTGGTTATCAAAACTGCAACAACAAGCAAAAAGACGGCAAGACAACCCTCTCTCTCTCCTCTCCCCCCTCATCTCCCCCGCTCCTATATTAGTACTGCCATTTAAGTACAGATGCAGATGCTTAGCTACGGGAATATGTTATACATGTACACTGGTTGAAATGTAAAGTAATAACCCATAATTAAGCCACGCAAATTACAGAAGCACATTTTGTATGCATGGCATTTTCCCGCCTTATTTGCAGATTTAAAATCAGTCAGAAAAGCACAGGAACCCCGTCCGCTTTGTTCTGAGGATTTGTTTCTGCTAACTGTCCTTTAAGTTGAAACGGAGCTGGGGTAAAAAGGGCGTTTAGTTACGCTGCTCCATTTGCATCTAACCAGCTGGAACAGGACATTAAACTCAGGGCGCTGGTCTCTCTAAACAGACTTATGGGGCATTTCCACCACACGGTCGGCCTCGGCCACGCTCGGTACTGCTTGGCCGCGTTGGGCCTTAACAGGGCCGGCTCACTTCATGCTGCGTTTCCATTACAGTTTAGGAACTGGGGTAGTATCTATAGTAACGCAGTGTAGGCGGAGCCGTGACGTCATCTTCAATGAGAACCCCAGAAAAACAACACAGCCGTTAGCTGTTAGCACTCAGAGCTCACAGCTCCTCATATCTGTTCAGAAACTAGACAAAAGTGAAACAAGTACAAACCACAGACTGTCTGTGTCATGGCGAATACAGTCGCTGCTTTATTTATGTCTGTATAGGCCGTTGTTGTGAGTGTGGACGGTCGGAGCATATACTGCGTTAGCTTAGCCAATCTCCATTTAGAAAACACGCATTTTAAAAGCTTTTTCGCCTGCCGTCTGTCTGCAGACTTGACAAAGCATTAATTCATGGTTTTTACTAACCGGTATCAGTATGTTGTTACTTCGGCATCATTTTGAAACGTGTATTACAATTAAATCACGGTCAAATATGTTCATCTTGTTGTAGTTGTAGCCTCCTTGCCAGCGATTCTCTCTCTAGTTTAGCATACTCAGCCCGACTCAGCCCTGTTTGTTGGCCCCGATAGAACCACAATTTTGTCGGGCCAGAAAAGAGGTGAAAAAGTGGCCCCGGGCCGGGCCGGGCCGTAACTAGGCCTAGTGGAAGCGCAACCAAAAACGGGCACGGCACGCTTAAACCGCGCTCCGCGCCATGGTGGAAATGCCCCATTAAAGTGCTACTTAAAGGTCACCTATCATGCTATATTTAAACAATATATTATAGGGCCATATCTATACAAACCTGTCTCTGAAGTGTTTTGCTCAAAATACCAAACATCTCTGGTATACCCCCGTTTTTAAAGATGTGGGTACGGAGGAAAAGAGAGAGGGTTGTATTTCCTGACACTTTGTGAGTCTCCTGACACACCGGTGACACACGTGTATGTATAAAAGACCTTTAAAAGTGCATTTTGTATAATAGGGGACCTTAAATTACCGAAAATCAACTCTGTCTGTAGATGCTTCTTAAGATGATGTACTGATTGTGTCCCGATATGTTCTCTGCTATTGTTTTAACCTACCCATCTAGGCCAGGACTCTCTTGAAAACGAGATGTTTCTGGTTAAATAAAAACAGTGTGACACTCACGTCCACTTCAGACAGGGATTGCGTCCACTTGTAGTTCGGCAGGTCGGCTCCATTTCCTGCGTTGGGCTTCATTTTATCTTTGTCCTTCTCGTCCTCCTCTCCATCGGACTCAGACTGAGGAAACAAAGTCAACATGTCAGCAGAGGCTTATAAACAAACATTTAAACCAGGGGGGTCCAACTCAAATACACAGTGGGCCAAAATAAAAAAAATGGGTACTAGTCGAGGGCCGGACTGGTTCAATGTTTATTGCAGAACTTATTGAAATGAACTTATTGCACATATTAAACCTGGAACTAACAAAGCTTAAATGATTGTCTATAAAAACAACATGAAACATTAAATAATCAGTTGCATTCATTTCTTATGGCTCTATCTGCAGCTTTTCCAGAGTCATTTCTTATGATTACATTTCTCCACAGGCCAACAACAGCTTCAAGAAAACTATTTCCCTCAAAGAGAAAACCAAACATGCCCTGTTGTCGTGAGAGAAAAAGTGCAGAAGGAAACATCCATGTAAACTCAGTGTGCTGCTCTGTGATGCTAGCTCAGATACTTGGCATCTCATCTTGGGTGCAAGGTCATCAATGTTTGGGGTCAGGCTCTGAGCGGAGGAGACCCTCAGCATGGAGTGAAGGTGTGCGTGCAATATACCGGAGGGCCAGATCTAATAGTAATTAGAAATTATCCTGCGGGCCGAAATTAAATCCACCAAGGGCCTGATTTGGCCCCCGGGCCTTGAGTTTGACACATGTGCTTCAAACCAAAAGTTTCTCTGTAGATCTGTCCACTTACCCCCTTCTCTTTGTCTACTTTGTCCGTCTTTTCTGGTTCAGGCGTTGGTGTTTCATCCTTCTTTTTCTCCTCTTCGTTCTTTTTCTAAAATACACACAACAAATTAATAAATATGTAGATAGATAGAATCAGGAGGGATGAAACCCTCTTTAATGGTCACATGCAGAGCACACAGTGACATGTGTTCTCTGCATTTAACCCATCCTAGCACCAGGAGTCTAGCACCAGGAGTCTAGCACCAGGAGTCTAGTACTAGTAGTCTAGTACGAGGAGTCTAGTACTAGGAGTCTAGCGCCAGGAGTCTAGCACCAGGAGTCTAGTACCAGGAGTACTAGGAGTCTAGTACCAGGAGTCTAGTACGAGGAGTCTAGTACCAGGAGTCTAGCACCAGGAGTCTAGTACCAGGAGTACTAGGAGTCTAGTACTAGGAGTCTAGTACTAGGAGTCTAGTACTAGGAGTACCAGGAGTACTAGGAGTCTAGTACTAGGAGTCTAGTACTAGTAGTCTAGTACTAGTAGTCTAGTACTAGTAGTCTAGTACTAGGAGTCTAGCGCCAGGAGTACCAGGAGTCTAGCACCAGGAGTCTAGTACCAGGAGTCCTAGGAGTCTAGTACTAGGAGTCTAGTACTAGTAGTCTAGTACGAGGAGTCTAGTACGAGGAGTCTAGTACGAGGAGTCTAGTACCAGGAGTACTAGGAGTCTAGTACTAGTAGTCTAGTACTAGGAGTCTAGTACTAGGAGTCTAGTACTAGGAGTCTAGTACTAGGAGTACTAGGAGTACTAGGAGTCTAGTACCAGGAGTCTAGTACCAGGAGTCCTAGGAGTCTAGTACCAGGAGTCTAGTACTAGGAGTCTAGCGCCAGGAGTACCAGGAGTCTAGCACCAGGAGTACCAGGAGTCTAGCACCAGGAGTCTAGTACCAGGAGTACTAGGAGTCTAGTACTAGTAGTCTAGCACCAGGAGTCTAGCACCAGGAGTCTAGCACCAGGAGTCTAGTACTAGGCGGGCAGCTATTGTACAGCGCCCGGGGAGCAATGGGATTGAGGGGGGAAGGGGGTTGCCTTGCTCAAGGGCACCACGGCAGGGCAGGAGGTGAACTGGGAACTCTCCAAGTAGCAGTCCACACTCCATATTTTAGGTCTGGTCGGGGACTTGAACCGGCGACCCTACAGCTGCCAGTCCAAGCCCCCTACTGACTGAGACACTAGTGTAATGGACTTGTGTAATACAAGATGGTTTCCACTGACAAGAGCTTCAAGGCTTTGGGGTTTCACCTTGTCGAGTTCAGACTGAAGTTTCTCTGCTTCTTCATCGGTCAGTTCCTGAATCCTTGGACCGTCTTCTTTCGTTTTCTTCTCCTCCGCTAACTTTTCTGCTTTTTCAGCCTTTGCTTTCTTTTCCTTCTCCAGTTTCACCTGCTTCTCCTTTTGGGACTTCATCGCTAGCTTATTGTGTTTGACGACCACATCTTTGACTAGCTGAAAAACAAAGAGATTAGGTATAAATTGAGGTATAGCTCTGATGCATGGTTCTTAAAAGTCGCATTTTGTGCATTTCTCACCTTCTCTGCAGCACCTGGTTCGGCACCGGTGAAGAAATCTGTTTTGCGGCGCAGGAAACTGAAAAATGTGTTTACTAGCTGTTGAGAGAAGAAGAAAAGGATGTCACACAGATGAATTTTATACTGAGCATTGTTGGCATTCATCATCTTCATGGCTAGTTTGAATATGAACAATATATTCTACATTTTACACAAAATATTTTTTAATCCTTATATTAAAATGTGGCATAGTAGAACACTACTGCAGAAGAAAATATTCATCCACAACTGTCTCAGCCTAATGTTAATCACACACACACACACACACACACACAAAGAATATTAACCCTAAAAAACGAGTTTTAACGAAATTAAATTGAAATGTGGTGCTAATTTATTTGGTTCTTGTATACAACATTTAACATAACATCCTATTTATTTAAAAAGTAAGGTAATGGTGTGTTCAGCTAGTGATACTCATAATAATGTTTGCTTAACCCTGTAAATTTGATGTTTTCTTCATAATAAATGCTGATTTTAACAAGAGCTAAAACGAGATTTAACAGAATTTCCGTTCTAAAATGTTTGTTTCTTGTATGCCAAATCTAACATAACATCCAATGTATTAAACAAGTAAGGTTATGATCTGTTCAGCTACTGATAATCATTACAAAACGTGCTTAAACCTGTAATATAGTTGTTTTTTCCTCATACAGGCGAGGGGCGCATGTTAGCGTACAGGCTAACTGCATTAGCTTCTATATTAGCATGGTAGCTTCCACATGTTATCAACACGCTAACTTACCTCCTGTATTCCTCCTTCTTGTTGCTGTGCCAGGGTAAGCAACATGCCGTCATACTTGTCCTCCTCGTCCCCCATGTTGGTGGCTTTAACACCGGTTAAATTAAACGTTAGTTGCGAGAATGACAAGCAAAAAGTAGATTTTAACGACAACGTGAGGCCCGTAGTCACGTTATTCGCTTCCTGGAAACAAACTCCGCCCACGTGAGACTTGACCAATTGGAAGGAAAGATTTTTGAATGACAGCTGAAATATCCAATGAGGTGAGAGTGTTGATTCAGGGTGGAAATGAAGGTGCCCAGGAAGAATATTCTAGACTAGAGAACACCAAAAACATTATGATTTTTCATCGTAAATATACATTTTAAACCACTTTTTTACATTTGAAAACGCAAGAAAAGTAGCGCGTTATTATTATATGTGAGCTGAGTGAGTTTATGGCCACAATGTTGTGGAAAAATAACATTAAAAATGATCTTAAAGTAATTAATAATTCATACTTTTAATATAAAACAATAGTATAAAAAACATACTGGTAATTATATGATTCAAGATGTTAATAAAACATATTATTAACATACACATATAGGCTATTCGGGGCTTTTTTTTCAGAAGTGTAAAATAAAATGAAAACTATATTGTTTTTTGGGTAAAATGTACATGAACATACAACTATAATTGTCTTGTTCATCATCAAAAAGTGGTTTAAAATTGGGGGATTCCAGTTTCTGTTGAACAAATGCAATTGTAAGTGTTGTTCATGCATAGATTAAATGATATTGTTTAACTTTAATCACATTTAATGCATTGTAAGAGTGAAAAATCAAAAAATATAATGTATTACAACCATGGGACTTGATCCATGCAAAGAAAAATCTGTGTACAGCAATTATCAAGTTATATGACACCTGATCTCGTAAGTCACCATAAAAAATGCTTTATCATGTGTCAATGATGGTTATTACGCATTGTAAATATATACAACTTACTAATAGCCTATCTAAAATTATAGTTGACTTGGTGTCCTCTCCAGATGGTGGAATTTGTTTAAAGTACCTTAAATAAAAGCTGCATACTTTGAGTCCTGCATGTGGTCATATGTGGCAAACAAAACTCAACAAAATCTTCTTTTACTTTCACTTAAATTTACTTTATTGTTTTTACAGTTAAACGATAGGTTACTGGCAATATAGGCACAACACATCTTTGCAGGAAATATGAAATCTTGGCGAGAGTACAAGCAATTTAAGCAAAACCTTCTGAACGCAAACAAAAATGCAAAGTATGAATCCAACGATTATTTGACAGTTTATATGACACATTAATCACTATGACATTGCATTTATGTTCCTGGATCAAAACCAGAGCTACCAGTTTCACATCATTTCATTAAAAACCACACTGATGCTGAAGCCAAATTCCTGACACACTAAAAACATGCTGTGTGGTTTAGTTAGCTAAACTATCCTGTCACATAAGTAGTTTATTCTGTATGCTAAGACATGGCACAAGAGGGTAGATGCTGTGAACATCTGGAGAGTTCTGTATACGTGTATTACCTGCAACATTACAATATGAGCTAATGCTGATAAGAAGCACAGATAAATTCCACAGAGTCAGCTGGCAAAATTCCCATCAGCACCCAGGAGCAAACACTACACGCAAAACAGACTTTCACTTCATGAGTCAGCCTCAGATAATGTCCTTAATAAGTTATAGTTATAGTTCAGGATACAACCTGAAGTCTAGCTGCAGGTCACACCAGATTTAAGAGCATTTTATGAGATATGAGTTACAGACAGGACGGCTATAGAAAATGCAGCAAACTGATTTTCGCTTCATGTGAGGATCATGTTATTATACTTAGGATAAACAGCAAAAAACACACATTGTTTGGACACAGAAGACACATCTTCACTCAAGGCACAGTTATTAACTTTTTCTGTAGCTTTGAACTTGTCTTGACAACAATGATTAGTGCTAAAAGCTAATTGAATTGGTTGTAATTATAACAAAGACACAAAGATATATGTATGCATTTTCTTTTGTACCTTAATTAATAATAGACATTGTAAGTGGCGGTGAGTTCATATCATATTAAAGTTACACATTATGAAGATATCTATGATTTAAAACAAGATCACGCTGCCGTTTCAATGCCTGATTTAGATGACACTGGATAATGAAGTGTTCAAACTGCATTCAGGAAACAAGCATTTTAAAAGTGGTTTGCAATAGTCATCATGCAATTACAGTTTATTGCAATTACACCAAGGCAAATTGTGTCCAAGACAAAGTTTGGTTCATTACGCACAGAAAAAGTATAACTTCTTTGGCTTTTTTGAAAGTCCCATGTCTTAAAGTACAACTTCTTTGGTTTCTGTATTTGACCATTTTCATTATTATTTTGTCTGTACTTCCAGGCATAAAGAAACGTTTAAAAGAACAGGATTTGAGCCATTCAACAAAACTGCTTTTTCCTTCCAAACAAAACAGTATTACTTCATTTTTTCACACTTTAGCCACATTAATATGAGATATGGCAAAACTACCCAAGCATAAATTACGATCATTCCTCTAGAATCACAGACTGTAAATATGTCAAGCACAACCACTGAATTAAGAGCCTTGAATACAGTTTAAAAGTCACACAAATGAGTTTAAAATCAAATATCAGATGTGTACAAGATGATGAAATGCATCTTTGCAAAACAAGGAGCGAGTCGAACGAGTCAGGTTTCATGAGCAATGACTCCTTCAAGGACGAAGGCACGGTGAAACTGCTGCTGCTGATATCTACCTGCTCTATCAGGCAATCCTTCAAATATACACATTATATTTCCAAGCATAAATATCTACACGCTACCCTGAGTTCACTGACGTCCTTCAGACAATGTGAAACTTTTTCACATTTTTTCTTTCAATGCAGAGAGCCGGCCTCAGAAAGTCTCCTGAGTGCAAGAAGTGTCGCATTTCAACGTCCCCATAGCGGGACCTTGGTGACACGGCAGGACAAATAATAATAATTCAAGCGTAGAATCTGCAGGACTCATGTTCTCACAGAGGTGCGAATGAGAGGCACGCCTGAGGAGTTCGTTTCCGTGTGAGAGGGGGAGCTGGAGGTACGACCTGGAAAAAAAAGACAGAAAGGTTAATCCTGGCATATCGATAAGTTCCTCAACTATTCACAGTGCATTCCAACTATAAATCATTAAACACTTAGAGGTGAAAAAAAGACTTGAAAAGTGGGGCGAAGGTGTGAAAAAAACATTTATTAACTAGGCTCTGTTGTTATGCTTTTTTAATGGTCTGCTCAGTCTGCTAAGATCCCTGCAACATGCCTCCATTAGACTCCTTTGTTTACTTCATGAACAAAGTGACATCACTAGCGCTTCTATTGGCTAGCGCTCCAACACATTGTACGTGATAGAGATTTCCCGCCCCTTAGCCTAAGTGGTTCACCAATCACAACAGAGCCTGCCAGCTAACCAATCAGAGCAGACTGGGCTCTGGTTTCAGACAGAGGGTGAAAAGAGGTGCTGCAGCACAGACAGTATGAGAAAAAGAGCTTTTTGAACATTAAAGCCTGGAGACATGTAGAGACACTACATACTGATATACACCTGAACATCAGCAGGAGAGGACTCTTTAAAGTAGAGACACTACATACTGATATACACCTGAACATCAGCAGGAGAGGACTCTTTAAAGTAGAGACACTACATACTGATATACACCTGAACATCAGCAGGAGAGGACTCTTTAAAGTAGAGACACTACATACTGATATACACCTGAACATCAGCAGGAGAGGACTCTTTAAAGTAGAGACACTACATACTGATACACACCTGAACATCAGCAGGAGAGGACTCTTTAAAGTAGAGACACTACATACTGATATACACCTGAACATCAGCAGGAGAGGACTCTTTAAAGTAGAGACACTACATACTGATATACACCTGAACATCAGCAGGAGAGGACTCTTTAAAGTAGAGACACTACATACTGATATACACCTGAACATCAGCAGGAGAGGACTCTTTAAAGTAGAGACACTACATACTGATATACACCTGAACATCAGCAGGAGAGGACTCTTTAAAGTAGAGAGACTACATACTGATATACACCTGAACATCAGCAGGAGAGGACTCTTTAAAGTAGAGACACTACTGTTTAACGTCTGATTTTGATAAATGATTAGATTAATATTTTAAATTGTATTGTAATTGTGTTTTTGTAGGGGTAATCATGTACAAGGGGTGAAAAAGGGAAGTACAGTAACGCTGCTTCACATTTTTTGGCTGTATGAGAAAAATAAAGAGCTTTTTGAACATTAAAGCATGGAGACATGTCAGAGTAGAGACACTAGAGAGAAGATCATTTAAAAAAGGACGCAAGGGGAATTAAAAAAAAAAAAAGAAAAGTATCCCGATGTCTCTAAAAGCACATGATTTAAGTTGGAAATGAATTTACCAGGAAGTCAAACCACTTACGGCACATGCAGGACGGACTTCCCCTGTTATACCAGCCAAGTTATGCAAAACAAAACATTCACATTGCTCACAGCCGCTAACCAAACAACTGGGAAATAATTGAATGACACGCAACCAAAGCTACATTCCCTTATCATATCAAAACAAGAGTAGGCGTTGAAAGAGTGATTCCACACCTCCGTTGGTCCTCCACATCTCTCTGGCACACTGGTCCGAGGAGGTCAGCTCTGATATCTGGATGTTTGGATTTGATTTGTAGTCATCTGGAGGAAACAGAGTGAAAAACATAGTCATGCCGGAAGAAAAGCAGTTTTGTGATGGTTTGATGCAGGGCTGTGCGATTATGGCAACAATCATAATCACGATTATTTTGGCCAATAATTGATATCACGATTATTAAAAACGATTATCCATTTACTTTGAAAACATCCATATATTGAAAAAAAAAATTGAACAGTACGTTTTTAACAGTTGATTATCCTGAACTTTAAGTATAATTAAACTGAAAAACCAATAAAAAAAAATTAAAAAACATTTTTTTTTTTTTTTTTAATAAAAATAATAATAATAGTTTATAATAGTTTTATTTCGATTACATTGTTTTCGTAATCGTTGCAAGCCAAAATCGTAATCGAGATTAAAATACGATTAATTGCACAGCCCTAGTTTCATGTGTGTTTTCATACGTCGTTTCAGAGGTATTTCTTTAGTCAAATAAGCCAAACTCACTGTTGTTGCTGAATGAAAACGAGTCGCTCTCCCTCATGGTCTCGTTGCCGCTGTCCGACATCGTCCTCTCCCCCTTAGAGACGTTCGGCCTCCTCTTGCTGCTCTTTCTGGTGCTGATGCGGATGATTCCTTTCACCAATCGGCACTCTGCCTCCTGCTCTCCCATCTTATGTTCCTCTGCCAGAGAGTTGATGAGCTGGTTGATGGCTTTGCTCTTCCTCAGGAACACAGAGTCTGTTGTGCACCTGGCCAACTCCTCGATCTGATACTCAGAGTAAAGCTCCAGCAGCTTCTTTGTGATCAGAGAATCCACGTTCTCCTCTCCGTCATCCCAGTCCAAAAACCTCATGGACTCGTGGAGGGACGCCTGTTTCTGACCACCGGCTGAAACCACAAACGACTGAGATCGATCTTCATCTAAATACTCTCTTGGAGTGTGGACTTTTACTCCAGCGAAGCACACGTCTCCGAGCCAATCTCCTTCGTCGACTTCTTCTTCTTTGTTTCCTCCTGGGTTTACAGATCGTAGGCTCACGTTCTCTGGTTCATCCGGGGATCTCTCCTTGATGCACGGAGATAAAATGGATCTCTGGCAGACTCGATACAGTCCACATGTTAAGACGCTGCACACAAAACTCCTGCAGCTGTTTGGAGGGGAGCAGGGGTTGCAGGTTTGCGTCGCAGATGAAGGATCAGCCGAACCAGGGATGAAGCCGATGGTTTCCGATTCTTTCCCGTTAGAGTCCTTCAGGTGAGCTTTGTTCACTGTTCTGGGATCAGGGAGTCTGTTTTCCACCGGGTCCACGCAGCGCTCCTCGTACGATCTCACGCTGCTGCCGGTGGACATGACTGACGGCTTTCAAAGATCTGCAACAAGCAGTAGAGAAAATTAAGTCAAATTAGGTTAAAGGTCTCCTATTATACTATTTTTAGGCATATATTATAGGTCTCAGATATTTAACAATTTATAAAATAACATGTCTATGAAGTGTTTTGCTGAAAATACCAAACAGATCATGCATTTTAGACATCCCTCTTATCCCCCCATTTCAGGCCTGTAACTAAAGTGCTGATTCTGGGTCAGTAGATTCTTTTTTTTAAAGAGGGGGCGGAGCTAATGCCTGATCAGAATTCTACCAGCAGAAACTCAGCTAAATGCTGCCGTGATAAAACACCATCCTGTTCAAAAGCACATCAAGGAGTAGTTCTGAAACAGTTTGAAACCTTTTTATATTTCCTGCTTCTTTACACATACTCTCTCCAGTACAGGTTAGCTCTGAGTGTTAGCGATGCTTGCTAATGTAAACAAAGACCATATTACGTCCCAAAACACGTCGTGCATTGTTTCTGATAGCAACGTTTCTGATAGGCCCGTGGGTGTAAAGCCAGCCTACATTTCAGATATTACGTCATATCGGACGCAAATCTGGATCAGCTCCGTTTTAAGAGATGTGAGTACGGAGGAAAAGAGAGAGGGTTTTATTTTCTGACACTTTGTGAGTTTCCTGACACACCGGGGACACATCTTTATGTATAAAAGACATCAAAAAGTGCATTTTGATTGAGAGGAGACCTTTAAAGTAAAGAGTAAACCAGTTTTGAAATAGCATCAGTAAACTAGGGCATGGTTTACTGATGCCACAATATACCAAAAATATTCCCTTCAGAGAACTCTTAGCTCCAGTGTTCTTGAGTTGCTCTTTGTTTAACCAGTTGTTTCCTTCTCAATCAATAATTCAAACATTTGTATTGTTTACAGGTGGTCCCTTGAGGATTTAAAACCGTAATTATTCTGCTAACTTATAATTTATTTGCGTTTATTTAGATTGTTGACTACTGATTGGAAAGTTTTCAACTTCTTGTTGTCAATTATTAATACATTTTTCTTAATGACGTTTCAATTTGTTATCCTCAATTAAAAAAGGTATGGTTTAGGTTTATTTGCACAATTAAACACAAATAAAGATAACACACGATATCCAGTGCAGCAAGAGGCATAAACCCATTGGGACTGTTTGAAGCCTCCAGCTAAAACATGTAAAACAAATCACAATCTAACATAGAGCGCATTAAAGGACCTTTGTTTACTTTCTCATAATCTGGCTTTTGTGTGCAAATAAAGGGAAACATGTCACGGCCATTTCTACTGATCATAATTCCATTGTTGAGGTATACTAAAATAGATTTATATTGTGCAATGTTCCAAACTCACATTGGTTTCTCATACAGCATCTCTGTATAGTATGTGTTTTCACTCTCTGTCCTAAACGGCTTGTTTGAGCTCCTGCCCCCCCCTCCCTGTGAGCCCAGTGGCCGTCTGCGAGACAGCGAGACACAGCGAAACCCAGCCCGAAACACAGCCTGGCTGGGAGTTTGTGTGTGTGACCAGGCTGAGTTCCGCGGTGTCTCTCTGTCTCGCCGACCCCACACCAGTGAGCCAGCTCACAGTGTCCCGCTCCTCGCAGCAGCGAGCCTCGCAACGTCCCGCCGAGTGTGTGTGTGTGTGTGTGAGGAAGTCCGTGGATTGGCCCAAACGTAACGGCTTGACGTTACGTTACGTTACGTCACTATACCCAAAATACGTCACTATACCCAAGAAGTAAACAATGGAAAAAGATAAATCCCCAACGAGGCGTTCTGGGGCAGCATAGACAGGTCTTTTCTGTGTTAGAGTTTTACTCACTACAGGGTGTACTTTGAGGGTTTGGGACTCTGCAGACCGTTTACATGCAGAAAAACCTTCATAACACACAAGGGGACGGGTAATAACCAGAAAAGCATGTCATGGGACCTTTAAATCACTTGAAGCTACCTGAGGGCATCTCTCCTCTCAACTAATGTGAAACTACTATCCTCAGGTGGAGGTAAAGCCACCCAACCGGTTCTCTTCTGCGAACACACAGACAAAGACAATAAACATGTCACTCAATGATGTCAGGGGGATTTCTATAATGCAAAATGCTTCATTGCAACTATTAAATAAAGACAGAAATGTTATATGAAATGCTTTTTTTAAATGATATTCTCCCACAAGCTTGCAAAACCATTTCCTCCTGTGTTTATATTTTGATGCTGAATCAAAAATACCAATTCCAATATAACAATCTTGGAATTTGATCCAATATAGTTTGCATGATTACAGACAACATTGCTGCAAACCAATGAGTTTTTTTTTTTAAACTTATGTGTTTAATTTCTATGATGTGCATTGCCTTGTTTTTTATGCTGCTGCAACGCAAACATTTCCCAAATGTCTATCTATCTATCTATCAACACAATTTCCTTCATTACACTAAACTAAACATGCACCTGCTGTAGGTTGCATGAAAGCCGAAATAATAAAAACATCTTATTGAAGCTAAACGTATCTTCATTTATCTTTTACAAGTAATACATATGATTTGTGGACAGAATTAGCCTTATATTGCCTTATTTACAAATAGGGTCTGGTGTTTCGTGACGTGTTGGTACAAATGTTAACAGTAAGGTATAAGCGACAAGGTAATGGACAAAGTAATACATTGTTTTGCAGTTTTTCCACCTTACATAGTGCCATAAACTACGTGTTATCATTTGAAACACATGAAGGCAAAAGCAATTAAGTGTATACAACTTATTTTCACTTTCATGGCGACATGTCATGGCTCTTTCCTCCATTAGAGGACTTACTTACATTTCACACGGTGCGTCCAGCAACTGATTCCCGAGTTTAATCTTGTCTCTGCCGCCTTACATTAAACATTTCTGTTTTTAATCCATTTGCAAAGTCCCATGTGTTAAATCCGCTCAAAGAACGTCACAGTTTCTGGAAAGTTTTCGACCGAATCCGTACCTGAGCGTCAAGGTGGAGGAAAAGCAACAGGTAGCTGCAGAAAGGGGCGGGACCTCCGGTTTTGACTTCCAAAATAAAACTTAAAAATAAATTGACACTGAGTTTAACTTTGGAATTATGTATTTTACGTGTTTACAGCGGTAAAAAACAATGTTGCAGTTCCATAGCGGAAATCAAGAGCATCACTCTGAATCTGAAGTGTTGTATTTCAAGGTTCAAGGTTCAAGGTTCTTTATTGTCAATCTGACATAGCTACAGAGTAATTATGCAGTTGAAAATCTTATGTCACAGGCTTCTCCAACAATGCAACATAATAACATAACATAATAACATAATTTGAGCTGTTTTCCAAAATAAATAAAGGAAATAGTGCTGCTGTAGATAGATAGATAGATAGATAGATAGATAGAAAGATAGATAGATAGATAGATAGATAGATAGAAAGATAGATAGATAGATAGATAGATAGATAGATAGATAGATAGATAGATAGATAGATAGATAGATAGATAGATAGATAGATAGATAGATAGATAGATAGATAGATAGATAGATAGTTTTACATGTGTTGGCCCAGGTTTAACTTGTTTATTCTTTTGCTGTGCTCAGTCATTTTACATTTTACATTACATCTATGTTTAATCACTTGTCATATTCTTCATACTTGCACTGCTGTAGTTCATTAATGCTCCTTTACAGTTCCCTACCAGTAAAACCATCAACATGCCAGTCTGCTTTAGCGGTTTATCTTCCTCTGATGGCTTACTTATAATGAAGATTTAACATAGATATAATGTACTTGAAGCCCCCACAAGTAACACCAATGCTGAACCCTTTAGGCCACCATAATATACTCTGAGTTTGAACGCCCAATGATATCTCTTGCTGTGAGTTTTTGGGGGCGTACGCACACATTATTATTCATACATTTCAGAATCAGAATCAGAATACCTTTATTCGTCCCACAGAGGGGACATTTACATTGTTACAGCAGAAAAGAGCCATCGAGCTTAATGTTAACTGCATTTATTTATGCATTTATTTATTGATGTATTTATTTATACTTATGTCATGTTCCTTCCGTGTGAGGTACTTTGGTTGAAGGGATAAACAAATGTCTAAGAATCAGAGTGTTGATGGTTCGAATCCCAGCATGGAGAAGTGTCTTCAGTGAAAGATATGGAAAGCAATATGATGTCAATGTGAAACTGCACCAAAAAAGATCACCCGTTGGTAATAAAAACTACCAGTACTTTCAGTATTTAGTGTATTAATGAGGATGTGAGAGGCACTGCACTTTAATTTAGTGCTAATCATCATACTAACATGTCCAAATTGCACATTTGAAAACTAAACCAGTATTATTGTTTATTACGTTTCTTTGTGCACGCTATTTTTCAGAACATTTATAAGTTATACTTTAAAAAAGTGGTGGGGACAACATTGGCCATTTCAAAAGGTGATGGGGATGACACCTATGAATATGTGCAATATATATATATATATATGCCGTTAATAGATGTGCAATATATACCTGGCTAGATAGATAGATAGATATACTTTATTGATCCTAATTTGGGAAATTATTTTGTTACAGAAGCATTGTGTTCCACATTAAAATACAAATACTTAAACAGGGAAATACAGAATTAACAATTACAAATTAAATGAAAATGAAAAATAGTATATCAAATACAAACAATATAAGCAATATAAAATGTTCTGGATGATAAAAATGTTCTTAAAAAAGTCGAAAATAAATACTACAGGAGCATAGACATACTTTACATAGGGCAGTGTGTCAGTCAGTAGGGGCTTGGACTGTGAGCTGTAGGGTCGCCGGTTCAAGTCCCCGACCAGACCTAAATATGGAGTGTGGACTTCTACTTGGAGAGGTCCCAGTTCACCTCCTGCCCTGCCGTGTTGCCCTTGAGCAAGGCACCGGACACCCCCCCTCCTCCTAGACTCCTGGCGCTAGACTCCTGGTGCTAGACTCCTAGTACTAGACTCCTGGTGCGAGGATGGGTTAAAAGCAGAGAACAAATGTCACTGTGTGTGCTGTGTGCTCTGCATGTGTGACCATTAAAGAGGGTTTCATCCCTCCCAATTCTTCATACATAGGATGGTATATAATATATAATATACTACTATATCTCTCAAGATGTGTATTTTGTAAGTTGTGTAATTTTTTTAAATCTTAAATATATTTTATGCATACTTCTTGGTTAATATTAAGCTGTCTTTTAGCTTGCTGTAACAAATGCACATTTCCTCCTCCGATTCTGAATACAGCAGGTGGCGGTAATGCACTTTTAACGCCGGTTACCACGCGCCATTAAACAAACAGAAGAAGAAGAAGAATGACGTCACAGGAGAGGTAAAAAAACATGGCTGCCCCCGACGAGTCGAGACGTTTTTCTTAATTTTAAGTGTTTAATATCCACTTCTGAACGGTAAGTGTAATATTATTGCGTGACAGCGAGTTGTAATATACTTAATACGCCTATACATGTTGTGTTGAGGTCACTGATACGTAAAATAAGGCCATATTCACAACGTAAAAAAGTGAAAAGTGATCCATGCTGGCTCCACCACGTTTGTTTTCCTGAGGTATTAAACCACATTTCTCTCCCTCAGTATATAAGTGTATTTACTCAGTTTTATTATGCTGCGAAATCACATTTTTAAATGTAATATTTCGATAAAGCAGTATGGTTTAATAGTAATGTGTTTTAGGGACGTTTTGATGCACGTCTGAAGTCAGAATAGGCACACGTTATTAATAATAAAAACACGATAATTAACATATGTACACCATGGTAAAACACAACTAAGTAGCAGTACAGTTTAAAAAACAAGGACCATATAAACATATAGAAGTAGCTGGTACTGTTAACAGAGTAAAATCATTGCAATACAACAACAAACACGTTTTAAATAATGTTTTTAAAGGTGTGTCATTATGGTCTCCTGATAAATCTTATGGACAGCATGGATGCAATTTTGACCTTAATCTTAAGTGGGTTTTTTCTGTGGTTTTTAGTATTTATTGCTAATTAAATATTTTAATAAAGGTAAGGTAGGTAATTCACTTCAGAAACACTTGTTATATTCCATGGAATGCTCTTAACATCCCGATAGCAATGAATATATGAAATGCTTTGACAATAAATACATAAAATAATTTCATCTGTGGAAGCCGTGGCGCTGTAAAAAGCACGACCAATCATCTGAGCCGGCCCGGCTAAAATAACTGGATGGCCTACCTGCCTGTCAGCCTTCCATCTGTGCACAAACTTATCTCGTGCCCTCATTGGTCATGTGCGCGTTCGTGTGTGTTGGAGGAGGGGCTCTGTAAGGAAGTCTTAAGGAAGAGGCAGATTTTTTTTTGGCTGTGTATTTTCAAATTCCAGCGCACTCGAGCTGGTTTCTCCATTCTTACCCACCCTACCTTTAAATCATGTTATGGATTTTACCTGTGAGAACAAGTGAGTTGTATTCAGTTAATGAGTTAAGATGGGTTAATGTTTCAACAGATCATGCTTACCATGGACAAAGTAGAGAACATTGTGCCATCTGCTGAGGAGGAGGAGATGGAGGAAGAGGAGGAGGGAGAAGAAGCAGGAGAAAAGGAGGAAGAAAAGGTAGATCAGAAAGGAGGTAAACAAGAAGAAGATGGACCACAGGAAAGTGGAGTTGAAAAGGAAACGAAAGAAGAAGCCGTGCCGCCGGCTGCAGCTCAAACTAAAACGGCTAAAAAGAAGAAAAAGAATCCCTTTCCGATGAAAACCAAAGAGAAAAGGCCGGACGAAGGCCTGAACCTCAACAACGAGGTGGTGAGGATGAGGAAGGAGGTGAAGAGAGTGAGAGCGCTGATCTTCAGGAAGTTGACGCGACAGGTTGCCGCCCTGAAGAAGAAGAAAGGGACGGAGATGGAGATCGAGAAAAACCAGAGGAGAGCTGCCAGACTGCTGGAGGAGGTCCACGCCATGAAGGGCCTCTCCCCTGACGTGGTAATAATAATAATAATAATAATAATAATTAATTCTATTTACAGGACGCTCATCGACGGCCAGACATCTATCGACGGCCGAAATCGGCTCTGTGTGTCCGGGCCTTAAGGCATACTAAGTCCTGCTGAAACGGCACCAAATTACTTAAATTCATCAAGAAATGTCTCCATTCAATGTAGTCCTTTTAATCCCTTCTGTTTTTCTATTGTTATAAATTATTCCTTCATATTTCCAGTACACTTTCAAATAATACCCTTTTTTTTAAACAGTAAGACTTGGGCTTACCTTAATATCCTATACGTTGAGCATGAAGTGAGTTCAAACTGCACACTCTGTGGATTTTGTGTATGTGAGAAATGTCTGGATGTTTACCAGATTAGCGAATATGTCTAATTAATTATAAAACATAATTAACCGTTGGATAAAATAATTACGGAGGTGGTTCCCCTTTTCACCCGAAGTTCCCCTGGGAGTCCCAGCAGCTTCTACTGAAGCCAGTCCGCAACTCCGGGGACTTCCGGCCGGGGACTTCGGGTGGCAGTATACGGCGTGAAGTTGTTTGCGGCCTGCCAGTAAACCCAAAGCAGAAGCAGAAGAAGAAGTGACGTCAGCGGCTCCCTCAGGGACTTATTCCGGTGTGAACGCGATTTACTAGATAGTTCCAGGAAATAAAAGTTCCGGGAACTATTCCTGGGAAAAGTACTGGGTGTGAAAGCGCCTAATGGTGGACTATCGGACATTCAAAATGCAGGATATTTTCCCCCAATTGTCCGTCTTGTCTGTCAAAATGCATCGCTGTCATTGGTTGAGTTAGTTGGGATTCTGGGAATCTGCACACGTCACTCATCATTACACAAGTAAAGTGTTAAGAAAACAGTGAAATGTTGCTTTACGAATTTCAACACTTGATACTGTCGACTTGATTTAAATTTCAGATACTTGTATTTAACTGATTTAGTTTAAAGTGGACCTATCATGCTATATTTAAATGATATATTGTAGGGCCATACCTATATAAGGTATATTTATACGTTTCTGTTTTCAAAATACCAAACAGATCATGCATTTTAGCCATGCCTCATTTTGCTCAATTTGCACTTTTTTTTTAGCTCTGCTCTGCAAGGGCAGATTCAGTGAGAACAGCACCATCTACAGGCCTGGCATATGTACTACAGCGTCTCCAGCGCTTTCGAACGGCAATGGCCGTGGCTGTCTCCTCCTGATTGGTGGAGTTGGCCCAATAGCCGTAGCGCCACCGTCCTGACGTCAGGACAGTGTTCAAATCTGGATCAGTTTTTATCAGATCCGTTGCAGCCCCTTTTTTAGAGATTTGGGTATGGAGGAAAATAGAGAGGGTTGTGTTTTCTGACACTTGGTGAGTTCCCTGGAACACCGGGGACACATATTCATGTAGAAAAGACGTACAAAAGTGCATTTTGCATGATAGGTCCCCTTTAAAGAGAGGCAACATTTTGACTAAAAGTTGACTAAAATGTAATGATTTTTCATCGACTAAAACTGGACTGAAACGTTTTGAGTTGTCATCGACTAAAACTAGGATAAAAAGGACTAAAATGTGATTATAACTAACTATTTTCGTCTAAAGACTAAATCTAAAATATCTGCCAAAATGTACACTGGGGTAGTATGCAGTACTTTAATATGCAGTACAGATGTTGTTGTTAAAATGTCTAACTTTATAAACGGTGTCCTTGTCCCCAGGTGACCAAAACAGCTCTGCAGAAGAATCTGAACTTTGAACATGTGTGTAAAAACCCAAAGTCTGATATATCTGATCGGGCCACGGCGCGCATCGCTACTCATCCTCAGTTCAAGAAGAAGATCGAGACCATCAAAGCTGCTGTGAAAGCCTTCAAAGAAGAGCGGATGAAGGGAGGAAAGCAGGCAATTAAAGAAAAGCCACAAAATAAACCTCTCAAGGTGACGCCTCAGACTCCAGAGAAAAAGGTAGAGAGCAAGAGTGAGAAAGTAGAGGAGGATATTGAAGTGGAGCGACAGGAAATCATAGAGGATAAGAAAGTGGAGGATATCGTTAGAAACACTGAAACGGTAGCTGTTGTCGAGCCGGAAAAGGAAACCGTGAAAGCAACTCCTTCAAGTGAAACTGCTGATGTGGAAATAAAGGAAATGCCCGAGTCTAAGATTGAAAAGGGAAGCGTGAAAGCAACTCCTTCTGCTGATGTGGAAATACAAGAAATGCCCGAGTCTAAGATTGAAAAGGGAACCATGAAAGCAACTCCTTCAGCTGATGTGGAAATAAAGGAAATGCCCGAGTCTAAGATTGTAAAACCAGCTGCAATCAAAGTAAGTGAAGCAAAGGACGATGTGAAAAACACACCTAAAAGTAACGTTGTAGAGAAGAAACCGGAGACGAAGCCGGCACCTGAAGAGCTCCAGGAAACCAGGAAGACGGAGGAGGTGGAGAGCGATTTAGAGATATCGGACGATGAGGAGAAAGAGTACTTTGACGACAGCACGGAGGAACGATTCCACAAACAGTCCTCTCACTCGGAGGAAAGCGACGACGACGATGGCGGCTTCTTCGTCGGGAAAGTGAACAAATACAAGAGGAAGAGAAAGCAGAAGAGTGGAGATGGGGAGAAGTCACATAAACAAAGTGAGGTGAAGAGTTCAGACCCAGTTCAGAATGAGCTGGATGAGCTGGAGACCAGGCTGAAGTCGAAAAAGAACTCGTTTCAGTCCGTTTTCTGTCCGTCCCTTTCTTCGTCTGGAGGAGGGAGAGGGAGAGGGAGAGGTGGGGAAAGATTTATGAGTCGAGGGAATCCAAGAGGTGATGGTGGTCCAAATAGAGCTTTTAGACGAGAGTCCAAGTTCCAAAATCAAGAGGAAGACGGAGGAGGAGGTGGAGGAGGAGGAGGAGGGGAAAGAAATTCAGGCTCCAAATACAGTAAGCCGTCAGAGGGGGGTTTCAGAGGCAGAGGTCGAGGGAGAGGAGACTTTACGGGGCAAAGTGACCGAAGAGGGCGAGGTGGATTCTCCCAGCAGCCACCAGAACAGGCTTTGCATCCATCTTGGGAGGCGAGTCGGAAAAGGAAGGAGCAACAAGGACAGATCCTGGCTTTCCAGGGCAAGAAGATCAAGTTTGACGATTAGTTGGTGGAACATTTTGTTGTTTATTGACACTGAATACTTTTTGGTTTCGCGTCTTTCGTGCGTTATTCGGGATATCTGGTTCAGTGACAAATGTGTTGTGCCATGAATGTAATCATTTCCTAAACGGTAATATAATTTGCACTGAACGTGATTGATATAATAAAACATAACGTCAACAGTTGTAATAAAATGTCCTGACTGACATTGTTATAACATTTTACTAATATATTTATGAAATCGTTTTGATGGATGATATAATAATGTAAAATATGGATGCTTTGATTTCTTAGGAGATGTGAAGCATGCAAGTAAACAGCATGTATCACACTGTTATGCAGGGCCGTCCCTCCCTACAGGCTGACCATGCAGACTGCGTGTGGCCTCACCTCGCGGAGGGGGCCTCATCTTGCAGAGGGTGCCTCAACTGAGCCGAAAATGCGGTGCACCTATGCGCTTAAACAGAGCGCCTCATATAATTTTGCATGGGGCCTCATGTTGGCCAGGGACGGCCCTGGTGTTATGTGAGTTTACTATGAACGACTTGACGTCTCTTGTACATTTTTTTTACATTATTGGCACAATTTCCATCTCAATATCAGTCAGGACATTTTAGTAAGTTATGTTATGATATGTTTCTATTCCACAATCAGGTTAAATGCATATTACATTTATAGGTTTTTATACGGCTTTTTCCATCCTCAAAAGACAACAAACCTGGAGGTTATTTTTTTAAAACATACAGATTAAAGTATTTTTATTCCTAAAGATGATTTGATTCTTAACTGTGAAATGCTTTACCATATATTAGATGTAATAGTCAACAGTTTGAGGAACAATTGATGTGAGAATACTTAAGTTAGAAATGTAATGGTAGGGCTTTTGGAAATATTGTTGTTCTTTCTTGTAATTGTTTCTTTAATTTATAAACCGGTTAGCCATTTCACTGCTTTGTTCCAGATTTCGTATAATAAACATTTGAAGAAATTGATGTATGGTTAAAAAAAACATGATTATCTTTTGCAGAAAAATCTTAAAGCGAAATTTGTTTCCTTGTTTTTCTGTACTTGTCCCTTACTAATATGTGATTAATAATCAATATAAAATGTATAGGTAGACACAGGTTTGATATACTCTATTGTCTATCTTTAGTCCCTGAAAGCTACATTAAATAATTACAATCATAAATCTCATTTCTATCGTGAAAACAGACACGTTATAGAGTGGTGCAGCGACGCGTCCTAAAACCCGGAAGTAAGCTGCGCATGGGTACCTTATAATTTTCTAATCATAAATCTAATCGATAGATTTATGATTAGAAAATTATAAAAGTAAGGTAGACATGTGGATATTATCCGGCTGAACAAAACGTGATCCGTCTCTTAAATCCATCTCTGATCAATATGGAAAGGTAAATAAAGGAAGTATTGACTGGTTTCTAAATGTGATTGAGTTTGTAAGTGAAAATGTCTCTGATGGAAATGACTTCAGATCAATGGAAACCCAAAGGTAATGTTTGAGCCTCACTAAATGTTCCTAACAACACAGAACTGTATTATTCCCAGTCGTCATGGTAACGTCATCAGTTGCCGGGCAGATTTCACCTCAACAGGTTTCTGAAGCAGGAGCTCTGAGAACAGCTGAGTGCAGCGACACACACTGATAACACACACATTACAGAGATCAATACATCACTCAAAGTTACTTTATTTTGTTAAATGTTCCTCCATTAGAGAACATTTTCATTTGTTTATTTTTAGAAAGCAGTAAACCATTGGATCTTTAGTTTCACATCAAATCCACTTTCCTCTAGTGTCTGAGACGCTAGTAGAAACCAATAAATGTGTTTATGGGAAGACGGACATTTGGGAGATGGGTTTTTATTGGAAAGTGAAACACGGACAGGAAAGGGTTAACAATGCAGAGCGACTTCATGTCACGTTCACCTCTTAGCCCCAAACTAAAGTATGTAGAACGTCACAGTCCGCTGGCTCTGTACACAAAACCTCCCTGTCCCTAAATAATAGCAACATTATCAAAATCACAAACACTATTATGTTTTAAAACCAATTCAAGAGACATGTTATAAATAAAAAAACATACTTCTGATTAATTTAGAAAAGCTCAAAAAGGGAAAACAATATCACTCGCTTCTACCTGGCCGGATCCAAACACAAACAAGCTGAATGTTTACACTGATACATGCAAGGGTGTAACTTTGGTTTGAGAAGTGGGGGGATATGGAATACGCGCGTATTATGGCACTTTGGGCTTTCCATAGGGGGACACAAAACAGGGGGTCCTCCGCAATGAAACATTTTCTCGATTTTATTCCATTTCCTGCCTTTCTACAAATATTTGTATTTGTGGGTGGACCTCACATCCTCTTGGGGGGTCCGGGGGTGTATGTCATGGGGAGGGAGAGAGAGAGGGAGGGAGAGAGAGAGAGAGAGAGGGAGAGAGAGAGAGGGAGAGAGAGACGGGAAGATTTATTTCTTTACATTGAAGTTAAATTCAAGGTTCAAGGTTCTTTATTTTGGCAAACGAACATATGCTGATGAAAATCTTGTGTCACAGGCTTCTCCAACAGAGCAACACAAAACACAGATAAACAGAAAAATATAGTGCAAGTAAATATTAAAAAGTAAATACAGAAAGAAAAATTGTTTAAAAAAAGTGAAATAGTGCAATAAGAGTATATGCAAGTTATTGAAATATGATATATTAGGTAAATAGATAAATAAAGTAGCAGCCAGTGGAATATTGTGGATGTTGTTTCAACAGTTCAGGTCAATCTGGGGCACTTTGAGGACAACATTGGGATACAGCTCTCAACACTCATATGAAACAGAACTTTATATATTTCAATAATCAAAAAACCATTAGAATATGCTCACAAGCAATAACACATATTTGATCAACTCCTCTCTCCTATCTTAAACTTACCTAGTCTGCATTCTTTCTTGTTATTTATATTTATGCATATTTTACTAATCACTCTCCTTTCAAACTGTGTTTTTTATTTTTTTACTGACCTATAGTACACATTGGAATGATTTATTAACTTATGTTTTACTGACCTATAGTACACATTGGAATGATTTATTAAACTTATTTTTTACAACTATATTAAATAGATGGAAATATTTGTTAGATGACCAAACCGTTTGAGACCCACTGAGATAACTTAGACTAAAGTTTACAATCTAATCGCTCAGCGAGTCCTTTACCTCACTGAGCTGACGCTATCTCTCTCAGTCCAGGGTATATGCAGGAATCCTGAAGTCACATGTAACACCTTTTAAGACCTTTTTTAAGACCCTTTCCATACATTTTAAGACCTCATCGCCACTTCAAGTTTTAACTGGTTTCATTGGCGACACACTTTACCTCACATTGACTATATTCAGTATTGATTGTCCTCCCTCCTTATCTTCCAACCATTTGGACGCAGACTTGCATTTCCCCATAACGATGTTTAACAACCGGCGTAAACGGAGCTTCGCACGCTATCAAGCAGTGAGCGCGCGATGTCCTGTTCAGATGACGTCAAACCCAATGGGATGCCATAACTAAACTACACAGAATCACACTACACACCTACGCAATCATTACATTCAGGCAGACTGTAGAATACAACCTCTTTGGACAATTTATATACTTATTGAAAACTAGCTACAAAATGTAATACCTTGGAAAATGCCCTTTAATACTTTTTAATAGCCTTAATTTTTTCGCTAGATTGATTTATCAACTTTTAATACTTTTTAAGACCCCGCGGACACCCTGCAGTCCCACAGGAGAGAGCTCTCCCTCTCCTTATTGTTGAAACAGCTTCTAATCTCCGTTAGCTCCGAGCTAGCACCAAATGCTAACAACAACCCCCATCACTGGTGCGCTCTCTCTCATGTATACATAGGATACATGTACTGTGTGTGTGTGTGTGTGTGTATATATGTTGACTAGATCACACACACACACACACACACACACACACACACACACACACACACACACACACACACACACACACACACACACACACACACACACACACACACACACACACACACACACACACACACACACACACACACACACACACACACACACACTCCTTATGCAGACCTGAAATATGCCTGAGTCAGTTATTTGATTTGCTTCTGATGTACAGGTGAATGTTTCTAATTGGTGTTACACTATTTTATTGAATTGCTGTTATTGATTTTTCTAATATTTGCGTTTCTGAAAGCATCGTGCCTTTCTGAGGTCACTCTGCAGAAGGGTTTGAACTCTATGCTGCAGCTGGAGAGGTTTGAGAGCAGAGAAAGAGCTCTGTAACAACAGGTGGAAAGTTGATGTGAAGCACCTCACTCTGCCGGCTGGTTCAGTCTCAGAGCTGCCGGAAGTTGTTTCTATTGGCTGAAAGGAAAAGCAGAGAAAGTGTTTCAATCCACCGCCCCGTACACAACAAGGAACTAGACAACACTGATTATCCCTGTAGAAAACACACCAAGTGCTTTCCATATCAACATTACACTGAGCTCTGAGTTTGATTTGCTACCTCAAAGCCTTACATTAAAAACCCTGAGAACTCATGAGACAAGGTTTCTGATTGGTCTCTCACCGTTCCTCTTCCTGTAAACCAGGAATACAATCCCAGCGATGAGGAGAGCGATGAAGAGAGCAGCACCGATGAAGAGGAGGAGGAGGAGGGGATTCCCTGTGGAGCAGAAACAACAGGAAGTCTCAATCTGAACGGAGGAAGGAAGCTTCTTCAGGATGGGCATCAGGTCTGAGGCTCCTGAAGGGCCCCTTTCTCCTCGTGGTGTCATGCTGGGTTTGTCTTGAACCATTCTTAGTCTCTCTCCCCTGAGACCCATGTTTCAGGAGAGAGAGACTATGACATGTTGTCAGGGTCTGTTGATTGTTAGTAACCGTTGAGGCGTTGTGATGCAGTCTTACTTCTGTTGGTCCTGATCACAGCTGGGTCCAGTACGATGACGTGGTCCTCCTTCACCCCAGAGAGCTGGAACACACATCGGTACTTGTCCCAGTGTTCAGCGGGGAATGAGGAGACGTCCAGGTCCACGCTCATCTGGAAGGATCCGTCGTGGTTGGGCAGGATCTCTCCGTGGTCCACGTTGTCGTGAAGCTCCTCTCCGTCTCTGGTCCAGAACATGGCGGCTCTGTCCGGGTAGAAACCTGAAGCGTGGCAGCTGACTGGAGAGGAGGGGGACTTCTGGAGCAGAGACACTGAGGGGATCTCTGCACAAACACACTTTAGAGGTTATTGACTCACAGTAATATCACTACAGGCAGTTATGATGTACTGTCTGTGAGCATCACTGAAGGAGAACACAGAGTCAGTGTTTCAGAGAAATTGGTTAAATAAAGACTTTTTTCTCTGTTTTATATAATTTAATATCAAATAATGTTTATTGTTGTTATGATTAAAGAAGCAAGTTGAATATTTCCTCTTAAGGCCCGGACACACCAAGCTGACACCAAAGAACTGACACAGACGGAACACGATTGTTGTGTCGCCTCACGTCTCCTGCGTCTTGGCCATGTGTCGCACTGGAACACACCGCAAAGACTTCAGCCGACGGCCAAGAAGCACGTACGAACTGCGCATGCGTGAGTGGCAATAACTCTCCTTACCAGTAGGCGGCGGTAGTGTGTATTCGTCATTCAAAAGAGGCAACAACCGGAAGACAGACTGCGTGATACACCGAGAGAAGAAGAACAGACTGCGTGATATAAACAAACAACAAATAGCGTGCGTTCCATTTTCACTCTACAGCGAGAAGCTCACGGGGCTTTCCCCAACCTGTGTCGAGAGCTGGAGTTAAATGAAATCTCAGATTTGCCTTCTTAATCGTTTGTTTGGGTCCCTCACTTCCGTTTCGCTTCTCATGCACTGATTCGCTAGCTGAACAGCCAATCAGAGTGATTTCTTTTGCCGACGCCTTTTCGGCCGAACAGGCGTCGGCACGGCTGAAAAGACACGACGGTGCGGGACACACCAATCTGAGTAGGGCGTGTCGACGCTCATCGTCAGCCTGACGCCCACCGACGGCCAAAATCGGCTTGGTGTGTCCGGGCCTTTAGACTTTTTTTTTAAATCAAGATTTTTTTCTATTTCTTGACATTTAAATGTGTAAACAATTCATTTATTTATCTGAAAAATAGTCATTACTTAATCTATATTGACAAGAATATTAAGTTTGATCCCAAAATAAGTAGAAGAGCAACTCATTAGATTATCTCCACTGTACTGTGTAGTGCTATAGTACCATTCACTGATTCATTCTTTATTAAAGATATATGCCGAACATTTTGTAGTTCCAGTTTTTTTTAAATATGAGTATTTCGGTTTAAAATTGTGTTTTCTGTCTCCATATCCCATAATAATACCTTTTTTTGTATAGGAGTTAAATGTTATACTAATCATAAACTGTTTAGTGTTAGTTAGACAAAAGATGCGATTGCAACATTTCCCCTTGAAAGACAGAAAAACTGGTAAAATAAAAAGAAATGCAGCAGAGAAAGAAAACAGAGGGAGAGAGTGTGTGAGACACAGAGTGAGACTCGGGGTGTTTCTCAATGTCGAGTACGCTTGCTTGGTAGCACATGTCTTCCGAGTCACTTATTTCAAAAGCGAGGCAAGAATACTTCCTGGCATTCGGAAAACGAAGAGTGGAACAGGCTAGCAAGTGTGCAGGTGTGCGTCATATGAGAGGCCCCGCCTCTTACATCTCCCGCCACAGATTTGGGGAAATTGGTCCGTGCGCAAAGCATTGTGGGGATTTTAAGACCGCGGAGTCTACTCATGTGCAGCCTCGAAAGTTTTCCAAACGAAGTACGCCGGGCTCGGTAGAATTCCAAGTATGCTGGACATTGGAACAGTACCTCGGCGGCACTCGATGACGTAGTATGCTTGAAATAGTGGCTCTGGAGCAGCTTTACTCGACATTGAGAAACACCCACAGAGTGTGAGACACAGAGTGAGACAGAGTGTGAGACAGAGTGAGAGACACAGAGTGAGACAGAGTGAGAGACACAGAGTGAGACAGAGTGAGACACAGAGTGAGACTCAGTGTGAGACATGTGTTGTAATGTGTCTGTCAGAAACCCAGGATACATGAACATGGAGGTATTTATGAAACTCCATCAGGTCATGTGACTCTACCTGTTCTCATCAGAAAGCTCCTCCCAAGGTGCACATACTTCTTCAGATACTCAGGACACCACTGGGAGAGGTACTTCCACTGGTCCATATTAGGTTTGTTCTCTCCCCCCCTGTGTTTGCTGAGGACAGCCTCTGGTGTTGGAGTGATCCATGAGTCTGTCTCCAGGTCCAGTATCATGAAGTCTTCTCCATCAAAACCATAGTGATCATAACCTTTGACCTCACCAGTCTGATCATCCCAATCACAGCCGTACATCCTCTGGAGAATGTGGACACCTGAGAGAGAGAGAGGGAGAGACATTTGAAACAACGTTTGAAACCGCCTTAATCAGGTGTTTGTTTATTCATCGTTAGAACGGCTTTTATCTGATTTCATATATTCAAACATTGTATGAGAGGATATCTTTAGATTCATGTCTGAACTCCACAGCATTTCTCTCCTCCTTCAGAGTCTCAGGTTCTGAGCGAGGTCACAGAGTTTCTCTTGACATGGTAAAGCTTCTCACAGAGTGTCAGCATGTTCTCAGCGTTAGCGGCTCCTGCTCCGTCCTTTCAGAAAGCAGCAGGGATGTTGCTGAGAAGCTGTGGTGAGGAACAGCCTCACTGTGTGTGAGAGACAAAGGCTCATTGACCTCCTGCTGGTTGTTCTGATTATTATTACTAATAGTTTACAGAGCACACATGAGTACTGAGTTCACTCTCCAGCTGTTATCTCTGGGTGTGGGTTAGTTGGGTTTAGACTGCTGTGTGCCGGGGTTACAGCCACTGCTGCCCTGACCCTTCTGAGCCTGTGTGTGTGTGTGTGTGAGAGGTGTGTGTGTGTGTGTGTGTGTGTGTGTGTGTGTGTGTGTGTGTGTGTGTGTGTGTGTGTGTGTGTGTGTGTGTGTGTGTGTGTGTGTGTGTGTGTGTGTGTGTACAGGATGAAGATATAAACAACTAATTATCAGTAGAAGGTGAAACATGAACTAACCTCCTGTTAGGTTGAAGCGCTGCTTTGCAGTTTCAATGTTGACTTTGAAGGCCAACTGGGAATCCATACGGAGCTCAGTCTGCCTCTCCCAGTACTCAGGATCCTCTGCTGTGATTTTGTTCATCCAGTCCTGTTTGGGTTCGACTCTCTTGGTGTTGCTGTCGTAGTGAGATATCGGAACTTCATCAACCAATCCAACGGTGACAAACTCTGGGAAGTTTGGGACTCCAGAGGACCCAGTGTAGAAATACTTCAGAGAGTGAGTCCCTGTAAGAGAATAATAATAGAATTACTTCAGTCAGTATACATGAACTGTTCTCTCCCTGCACACATCACCAAAAAGTACAGCAAAGACATCAAATAATCTATTTTTGCATTATATTAAAACAGAAATAAATGTATTGACACATTTATGTTCAGGAAAATATTATATTTAATATTTCTGGTGAGTTTGAAATGATTATTATTATTATGAAATGTTTAAATCCTGCATGAGTGGATCTGAATGTCATTGATAGAAAACAGACATCATTTCTTAATCAGTAGTGAAACAGTCTTTATTATCAGATCATTTATAAATCTGAAATCACAAACCTCAGACCGTAATATTTACACTGCATGATTTTATAATATTGTTTTCTAGAATCAACAGATTCAACATTAGATTTGTAGTTATACTTCGTCCCTTATGGTCTCTGCTCTGTACTTTAAATTATAACTTATGTTTCTTCTTCCTGAGGTTTTGAAAATACATTTTTAATGATGTTATAAAACCATCAGGAATACCAAAGCTCTGATCCAGTCTCTCTCTGACACATCTCTTGATGTGAAATATTATATTCAAGTTAAACTCCCAATATTTAAGATAATAAAAGATTCTGCAAGTACCCAAAAATCTAATTCCCTGTTAAAACTTCAAATATTTTCTGGATCAAAGATATTTGGGAATTAAAAAATAAAATATATCAGCCGTTATTTATTTTTATCGGAGCGGGACATTTCAGTTTAAAATAAAGTGTTTGTTCAAAGTGTCAGAGAAACCCTGAATCTCTCAGAGCTAGTGTGGCCTTTCTGCTCATCCACCTGCATGAATACATATATCTGTAATACATGAATACATATATCTGTAATACATGAATACATATATCTGTAATACATGAATACATATATCTGTAACACATGAATACATATATCTGTAACACATAAATACATATATCTGTAACACATGAATACATATATCTGTAATACATGAATACATATATCTGTAACACATGAATACATATATCTGTAACACATGAATACATATATCTGTAACACATGAATACATATATCTGTAATACATGGATACATATATCTGTAACACATGAATACATATATCTGTAATACATGGATACATATATCTGTAACACATAAATACATATATCTGTAACACATGAATACATATATCTGTAACACATGAATACATATATCTGTAACACATGAATACATATATCTGTAACACATAAATACATATATCTGTAACACATGAATACATATATCTGTAATACATGAATACATATATCTGTAACACATGAATACATATATCTGTAATACATGGATACATATATCTGTAATACATGAATACATATATCTGTAACACATGAATACATATATCTGTAATACATGGATACATATATCTGTAATACATGAATACATATATCTGTAATACATGGATACATATATCTGTAATACATGAATATCCAGAACTAACAGCAGCTCCTGATTGATGGATCTACTAAACAGCATCATATAGTTCTCACAGTACATGTCAGTATCAGTGTGATGTTCTCTCAGTATGCAGTACTACAGTAAAGCAGACATGTAAACAACAACAACAGGAACTTGATATTGATGTTGACCTCGTTGAATTGTGATTTGATTCCCAGAGATCTATCTCTATGGGTGCGTTTCACTTCGATTAAATGGATTCCTTGCGTCCCTCACTTGCGTCGTTTCCCTGCGACTAGTCCCTCCCACCAGGGAAGCATGGAGAGACGCAAGGAAACCACGAGAAGCAGGGAAATGAGTTTTAACGGCCCGTCCACACAGCGGCTTTGGAAAAAGCTTGCCGGCGGGCGTGTCTGAAGCTCGACCAACAACAAATTACATGAATCTCCCGCCCCTGAGACACAAGCAGCGGTTTGATTGGCTAGAGCTTGTACTGGCATATGATTTGATTGGCTGACACTTCCACCGAAAGCTTCAGAAGCTTCAAAAGTTGAACATTGCTCAACTTTTGAAGCCTAACGGACCGTCCACACAGCAGCGTTAAAAAAAATCTTGAAACGCTTCTGCCCATTCACTTTGAATGGGGTGACGTCACTTTGCCTCACTTTTCGCCGAACTGCATTGTGGGCAGGCGAGCGGAGATTTTCAGGATTTTCAGGATTCAAAGTTGAGCAATGTTCAACTTTTGAAGCTGAGGTGGAAGCGGCAGCCAATCAAACCGCGTGTATGCTGGGAGAGACATACCGCAGGTCATTTCCTCATATTCCAAAACATGGAGGAGAAGTTAGCGGTAGGGAATCACCCGGTGCTTTATGACCAGTCCCTATTTACCTACCGGGACACAAACCGGAGGAGCCAGGCATGGAGGGAGGTGGCAGAGACAGTGGTATGTTTTCGCCTGTTTGGGGAGTTTATATCCAGTTTACTTCAAACTTTTTTGCTTCGTATGTCAGGGGCGGGAGATTCATGTGATTGGTTGTTGGTGCCTTGCTCGCAAAAAATCCCCAAGCTTCAGATACGCCCACCTCCAAGATTTTTTTAACGCTGCTGTGTGGACGGGCTGTGAGATGCCTGGAAAGCTCCGCTCTGCTTCCCACAATGCAGTTTGGCGAAAAGTGAGGCAAAGTGACGTCACCCCATTCAAAGTGAATGGGCAGAAGCGTTGGAAGATTTTTTTTAACGCTGCTGTGTGGATGTACCGTAAGAGCAATGGGACGTCGTTTCCTCCGGAGCGTCACTTGAAGCGACGTCTGTTTGTGATGACGTCGCACAGCTGATCGTCTGACAGCAGCCAGATCAGTGCATGGGCTGCATCGTCCAATCAGTGAGCGATACACAGTAAGGGGGCGGGGCGAGTGTATGAGGATTTCACCGGAGGATGGTCTGGTAGTTCCTCGATTATCGCTCCTCCGTTATCACTCCTCGATCCTCGGTCCTCCGGCACAAATAAGGCCACAGGGACGATACTCAAGATGGCGCAGACAAATCAACTTCCGGTGATACCGAGACCGAGGAGAGGAAATGAAAAATAAGAGAAGTGAAACGCACCCCCTGTTATTCATGTATAATGACAGGGAGCAGGTTATATATGATTTCTTCTTCTGCTTTTTGCTCTTCAATCAGAAACCAAACCCCTGGATACTCAGGGACTTTTTCACTTAGTTCCACTTCTCTGGATTTAGAAAACAACTAGATTTTATATGGACAACTCATATGTATTAGTATCATTTATAACTTTTCTTAGATATTAAATGGTCCCCAGAGGTGGTAGAAGTACTCAGATCTTGTACTTTAGTAAAAGTAGAAGTACTCAGAGGGGAAATGTACTTTGTTACAGCAGAAAAGAGCCGAAGACTGCTTAATGTTAACTAAGAAGCATGCATGAAAAAAAGTAGAAGTACTCAGATCTTGTACTTTAGTAAAAGTAGAAGTACTCAGATCTTGTACTTGAGTAAAAGTAGAAGTACTCAGATCTTGTACTTGAGTAAACGTAGAAGTACTCAGATCTGGTACTTGAGTAAACGTAGAAGTACTCAGATCTTGTACTTGAGTGAAAGTAGAAGTACTCAGATCTTGTACTTGAGTGAAAGTAGAAGTACTCAGATCTTGTACTTGAGTAAAAGTAGAAGTACTCAGATCTTGTACTTGAGTAAAAGTAGAAGTACTCAGATCTTGTACTTGAGTGAAAGTAGAAGTACTCAGATCTTGTACTTGAGTACAAGTAGAAGTACTCAGATATTGTACTTGAGTGAAAGTAGAAGTACTCAGATCTTGTACTTTAGTAAAAGTAGAAGTACTCAGATCTTGTACTTGAGTGAAAGTAGAAGTACTCAGATCTTGTACTTGAGTGAAAGTAGAAGTACTCAGATCTTGTACTTGAGTACAAGTAGAAGTACTCAGATCTTGTTCTTGAGTAAAAGTAGAAGTACTCAGATCTTGTACTTGAGTAATAGTAGAAGTACTCAGATCTTGTACTTGAGTAAAAGTAGAAGTACTCAGATCTTGTACTTGAGTAAAAGTAGAAGTACTCAGATATTGTACTTGACTAAAAGTAGAAGTACTCAGATCTTGTACTCGAGTAAAAGTAGAAGTACTCAGATCATGTACTTGAGTAGAAGTAGAAGTACCAGAGTGTAGGAATACTCTGTTACAGTAAAAGTCCTGCATTCAAAATGTTCCTCAAGTAAAAGTAGAAAAGTATTCTCATCAAAATATAGTGAAAGTAGCGACAGTAAAAGTAGTCATTGTGCAGATTGGTCCATTTCAGAATAATATATATGATATGTTTTATAATGATTGATCATGAAAGTGTTCTCAAAGCTGGTAAAGGTGCAGCTAGTTTGAATGACTTTGTATACTGCAGGGTAGCTTGTGAATTTACTCCAGGTGGAACTAAAGTCTGATTTAACACTTGATTATATTTCACATCATTCATCCACATCTGTAAAGTAACTAAAGGGATTAAATACATGCAGTGGAGTAAAAGTACACTATTTACCACCATTTAAGACTATCACACTTTAAACTCACACAGCCCATAAACACATGAAGCACTTCTTATGTTCCAACGTAAAGAATAAAAAGACTCACGTGCAGATGTGCAGTGTGGGCCTACTATTCCCAGGAGAAGCAGAAACAGCAACATCTTCATCTTGATCTCACGAGGCTTTCTGTGTGAAAGGTTCTTTATCCACAGAAACACAGCCGTCCTTTCTGCAGAGCGGGATGTCAATGAGAGAGACACACAGAAGGAGTTAACACCAGCTCCGTCTGAGCCAATAATGAGAATTCAGTCTGAGCGTCGCGCCACGTGTTTCTCGGTAAATCTGGCTCACTCAGGTTGTGTATCGAAAGTGAAAGCTGATCTTGTGCTGCCTGAGTGAGAAGATGCAGACATGCTTTATTCTGCTGTCTCTGTCCTCATGCTGCTCACACACACTGTAGGATTACACACTGTGTTCTTTATTTGATTCCACTGAACAGTATTTATCTCATCCTACTCTAAAACATGTATAGTTCACTTTAATCTACATTTGACTTGCACCACTATTAGTGTCCCGTGCACCATTCTCTTTCACTATTTTGTCTCTTTTAGGTGCAGAAATATGATATATATTATTATAAATCTTCTGGGAGCTACAGATCAGATACCCTGCAGTCTGGGGGGGGGGGGGGGGGGGGGGGGGGGGGGGGGGGGGCAGTAGGGTCTCACTGTTCTGTGTGCCATTGACTTTAGAGTGAGTAATGTGACAGTCTGTTATTTGACACAGACCTTATAGTCTAGCAGGAAGGGCCCTCAGATTTTGAGATACCCCACCCGAGGTAGAACAAATGACAACAATGACTTTTCTTATCTTTAGGGTCTCCCATTAATTAAATTGATTGTTGACACATTTTATTTTGGGGGAAAAAACGTTTTTTTGGTTGTTTTTTAGAACTACCCCAATCCCTGAAAAAGAGCCAAATTGGCCGAAAATGGGAAAGGTGACAAGAAAGCCCATAACTTGAGAATGATCACTCTTTTCCTCTTCAGATTTGCTGAGGTATGAACCAGGTGGCTGTCCTACATCACCAAATAGTCAGACAATTATCTTCCTAAAAGAATACTGAATTATAGTCCTGTAAACTTAGCTTTAGTTTAGACGGAAATTGTACCTTTTGGTGAGGAACATAGGACTCAATCACTTTTCTCTCATTTATCAGAAAAACAGAAATCCCTAAAAAATATACCATTACTGAATTGTCTAGGTGCTATTGAACACTAACCAGTAGTTGTATGGAAATATCTGGTACAGTTCTATTGTAAATGAGATTTCTTTAGACATAGGCCTACCTCTTCTCTGACACAGTCAAATTCCAAGTGGGGGATAAGTGGCATAATAGCCTATAAGTTAAGAATGCTTGATTGATTGATTGAAAAGTTTATTAACAGCTTGTATATTGGGTACAGTACAGTACAGCTCAAAACATACAATTGTTAAGGGGATGCAGACCAGAGAAAGACTTTCGTCTTGTTTACATCAGGGTCCCCCATTTCCAATTCATCATATCATTTAAGACATATAAGACATATTTGACATACAGATGGCTTATTTACAATTTACATACAGGTGGTTTTTTACATACAGATGGCTTATTTACAATTTTCATTTTAGATTTCGTTCTAATACATCCTAACCGGACATTTAAGACATACCAAGTCTACAGATATACAGTTAGTAACAGAGTCTAAAATGCGAGTATATACATAGATGGGGGGGGGAAGCTGTCCATTGTACGACAGGTTGAGATTTGTACCATTACCGGGGCCAGTTTTGCAATGCTTTCCCCCGAAGGTGCTCTTTAAGAGAGGTTTTGAAGGTAAGTATAGTTTTACTTTCCTTTACAGTTGTGGGAAGAGCGTTCCACCTTGATGTGGCATAATTGCGAAACGTGTATTCCCCTTTTTTTGTGCCAAATCTGGGTTTTACATGATTTGTGGAGCTCCCTCTGGTGTTATGATCATGGTATTCCTTGACCTTTGGGAAGAATTTTGACATGTACATGGGTACCATAGAGGTGTAGTGGATCTTGTAGACCAGGCCCATTGCAAGTAGCTGTACTCTGTCGTCTACTCTAAGCCATCCTAGGTTGTCAAAGTGGGCAGAGGTGAGGTGGGTTCTAGATGAAAGGTCAAGCAGTAGTCTGACCAGTTTATTTTGCGATGTTTGAAGTTTTATTTTTAGCGCCTTGGAGGTGCTATGGTACCATGACGTGCAAGCATAGTCATAGTACCCTTGAATGAGTGCTCCTGCCAGAGTTTTCAGGGTGTTTTTGTTTACCAGAGAGGAGATCCGGTATAGGAATCTAGTTCTTTGATTGACTTTTTTTATTACATTGGATGCCATTTTGTCACAGGAGAGGTTTGCCTCAAGAATAGATCCTAGGTATGTAATTTCCTTCTTACTTGTGACAATAATGTCACCCACTGCAACTGAGAAGTCGTCGGATTTGCTGAGATTATGTTTCGAACCGAAGAGAATGGACTCTGTTTTACCCAGGTGTAATGATAATTTATTATCGGCGAGCCAGGTGCAGATTCTGCCGAGCTCGGAGCTGAGGGTTTTTTCAACCTGCAATCTGCTCCTGTCAGAGACCAGCAGGGCTGAGTCGTCCGCGAACAGGAACAAGTTGCAGTCACATGCTGATGACATGTCATTTGCATAAATTAGGAACAGTAACGGACCTAATATGCTTCCTTGTGGAACACCACAGCTCACTGGGAGGGGGGGGGACAGAGTACCGTTTACCTCCACCATCTGTTCTCTCCCCTCCAGGTAGGATTGCATCCAGCTCACCGATAGTTTATCAAAACCAATTGCTTTTAGCTTGTCAATCAGAATGGGGTGATTGACAGTGTCGAAAGCCTTTTGTAGGTCCAGCATCACCATGCCGCAGTATTTACCCTCGTCCACCTCTTGTTTGATGTGGTCGTTCAAATAAAGAAGGCATGTGTCAGTGGAGTGGGATGTTCTAAAGCCAGATTGAAATTCATAGATTAGTTTCTTTTCTGCGAGGTACTTTTCGACCTGTTCATATACTATTTTTTTCCATGACTTTCGAGATGGAGGTAAGTATAGAAACAGGGCGGTAGTTGCCTGGGTCCAATTTGCTGCCCTTTTTGTGCAGGGGGGTTACTCTTGCAATTTTGAAGTCTTTGGGTACTTTTCCCTGTTTTATGGAGAGGTTAATTATGTGAGCTATGACTGGTGAGATGGCGGTTGCTGTGTCTCTGAGGAATTTGGAGGGGATATTGTCGTGGCCAGTGGCCTTGTTAGGTTTGAGGGCGCTCAGTTTAATGAGTACCTCTGCTGTTGTTACCCTTGCTAGACTGAAATCATCTTTGCGTACCCCTAGGTTTTTGTAGTAGGTCATGATGTGATCTACTCCAAAAAGCCCTGAGTGGGAGGGTAATTTATTTACAAGAGTTGTGGCTATGTTTGTGAAAAAAATGTTCAAGTACTTGGCCACATCCAGTTTGTCTGTGATGAGCCTGTTATCTGTCTTTATGTTTACGTTTGAAAATCTCGTTTTGAGTTTTTTACTGCAGCCAAGCTGGTTATTGAGTAATTTCCAAAGTTCACGGGGTTTATTTTTGTTTTCCTCAGTTTTGTCATTGATGAAATTCTTTTTGGCAGTTTTGATCATGGAGCTTACGTCATTTCTTAGTCTGTTTCTTTCAATTTTTAGTTCAGTCACGTGGGCCTGGAGTTCACTGCTCGTGCTTTTGGAAAGCATTGACTGACTTTTATGAAACTCAGAGCATTTTTTGTCTCTGGTTTTCATGGCGGTCAGTATGCCGGAGTGCATCCACGGCTCAGCGCGATTTTTTACCCTGGTTGTTCTTAGGGGGGCCAAATCATTGAGTATTGCAGAGAATTTGAGAATTTGAGGCTCCGTTGTAGCTTTAGCCGTCGATATGCTAGCAGGGTGGCTAACAACATGGTGGATATTTGTTCCCTCGGATCTCGGTTCTCTTCCTCTCGTCACTGCCTCATGCGTGTCTGTCTGCCGAGGCGTCCCCGGGGGAATGTCGAAGTCTCCGTTGATTCCTCGGTCTCCGCTGTCTCCATGGTCTCTGTTGTCGTCGCGTAGTTGTTGCTGTAGCGGAAGAGATGCTAGTTGTGATGCTAGTTGTGATGCTAGCTCCTCGAGCCTGCAGGAATGGCTTCTTGTCTGCACCGGGCCCGGATTCAGATGGATGTCTCCCGCTAACAATAAGACCAAGACGATCATACTTCTTCGGTCTAGTTTGCCTGACGGGGGTAAGTACTTTCGCGTCGGGTTTGCAGTTAATAATGCATGAATGCTTGCACTTCCAAAAGCGAGGTGTTTCCTTTCCCAGCCGTTGAGAAGGTAAAAGTCATTGTGGTTCATTTTATCCCTGCTTTCACTACTCTCCTTCTCTAAGTGATGTTGCCTCATTGATGAGTTGAGGTAGGAGTCCATAATCCATATTGTCAGGAGGATGAAATATGTAAAAAATCGTGAGGAATAACCTCCAAAGCGGGAGCTCTCGAAAATGCGACCACTCATAGCGAAACCGGAAGCTGCTCACTCTGATGGTCATTATATCTGGAGAGGGAAATACTAGGTGGCTGAACTACATCACCAAATAGTCAGAATAAGAGTAACCCAATACAATAAAGTGTATTAGTTCTAAATTGCAAGCCTCTAAAACATAGGTGTAAATAGTACAGGTTTTATTGAAACTGGAACCTTAATTCAAAGTACAGTATACAAATCATCAAATAACTCTGTGAGAGGTCAAGTATACAGATACTAGAATATAATGTTAAATGTCAGGTTCCTCAGAAACGTTAGGGGACACATTTTGACATTCTGCACAGCAGGTGCAGGGGAAGTACAGGGAAGGCCAACTGGCACTTTCCACTCTCTCCACACTTTGCATCTTTGCAATACAAGTGAGTAATGTCTCTCACTTCTCTAGGTGCTGAGTTTTTTTTGTAAATAGCACTGGTTGAATGGCCCCATCTCTGACAATCCACCCCTTGCCAACAGGACTCCATAACAAGGGTTTGGGTTCGGGCTGTGACACCATATCGCTGTGTACATGTTGTTGAAATGCATCCTCTGTTGGCGGCAGATTTTCCGAGGCTGCATCTGTTGTTGATGCAATTATGAACCTCAGTTCATCCAACTTTTTGCACATCAGTCCAATTTCCTTTTTATTTTTTCCATATAGCAGAAGCGCAAATTCT